AACAAACTTTCAAACTGATGTCTAACAAAATGCCGTTTGTGATTTTAAGTACTACCAACCATGTTACCAACTTAGAATTGAGAGGGAAATTTAAAAAAAGTTTATTATGTCAAACAATAAAAAGAAAATAGTATTTAGTAAGTAGGTTTAGAAAAAACAAACAACCAAAACAAAATGAACATCTGAATAATAACTGAAGTTAATCATGATAATTATAGCAATTAATAATGGAATTTAAGAAACAAGACATGAAACACTCTGAGATGCAGAAAACCCTAGTCAAAAGTCAAAATAAAATTGAATATTTTGCTAAGATTCTGGATCTCAGATCTTTTATTCAGATTGTTGTTATCACTCCTGCTGATATGTACCATTTCTAAGAATGTTCTCTTAAATTTATTTTTCTCTCTGGCTAATATTTTTACATTGTTGAAATCTATCTTATGGTCTAGATCGATAGTGTGTTCTGCCAAAGCACAAGTGGGTTTATTTAGTCTACAGTCACTCTTATGAGAAATGATACGACTAGACAGATTTCTTCCAGTTTCACCAATGTACGTGGATGGACATTCAGTACATTGAATGCAATAAACAACATCTCTTGACTCTAAAGTAGTTAGGGGTTGTTTTATTTTGCTATATAGCTGACGTATGGTTTAATGTTCTTGTTATGTGTTGTGTGTTCTTGTTGTTGTTAACAAGAACACACAACACAGTCTAGTTCACACTACACACACAATCACTAGAAGAAATCTGTCTAGTCGTATCATTTCTCATAAGAGTGACTGTAGACTAAATAAACCCACTTGTGCTTTGGCAGAACACACTATCGATCTAGACCATAAGATAGATTTCAACAATGTAAAAATATTAGCCAGAGAGAAAAATAAATTTAAGAGAACATTCTTAGAAATGGTACATATCAGCAGGAGTGATAACAACAATCTGAATAAAAGATCTGAGATCCAGAATCTTAGCAAAATTTACAATTTTATTTTAACTTTTGACTAGGGTTTTCTGCATCTCAGAGTGTTTCATGTCTTGTTTCTTAAATTCCATTATTAATTGCTATAATTATCATGATTAACTTCAGTTATTATTCAGATGTTCATTTTGTTTTGGTTTGTTTTTTCTTTTTATTGTTTGACATAATAAACTTTTTTTAAATTTCCCTCTCAATTCTAAGTTGGTAACATGGTTGGTAGTACTTAAAATCACAAACGGCATTTTGTTAGACATCAGTTTGAAAGTTTGTTTTTTGTAGTTACATCGAACTATTTAAACAACAATAGTTCCTCCTACTACCTCTTTCTGTTCGTGAGATGTGACTGAATTCAAACCTGCGAAGACGACTGTTTTTTGTCAAACATGTCTTATTTTTTTGACTTTTTAAACTTTGTAACATGTTCTTTAATTTTTAAGTTATTTTAAAGTTTTTAAGTTTTAATGCCTTCAGTAATTCAGATCACATTATGTTATTTAACGTTGTGTTTTATATGCTATGAATCTTACTTTCTGTTAAGTTTTTATAACTTTTATATTACATCAGCCTAATTTTATAACACAGTAATTTTCATTGTAGACCTTGATAAAGGTGGCAAATAACCACCGAAAGCTCGGATTTCAGAATAAATAGTACGCCTTAGCAAAGCTCTATTTTTTATTGACTACCACACCCAAAAAGAAAAAAGTATTTACATATTTTTTCCAAACTAGTCAAAAAAAAAAATTCTTGGACTACCTTGTATATATATATATATATATATATATATATATATATATATATATATATATATATATATATATACAAATGCTGTCCTCAAATTATTCAAACAGTCCTGTTAAAATTTGAAAACCGAACGGAGTCAAATTTTGTTTTTGGCGCGGAACATTTAGGTCGTGAAACGGAACGCAAACGGTGTGAAGTTTGTTCTATTGTGGAACTAAGCGGGCAACCGTTATTTTATTTAGTGCTACTACTGCGTCTGCTGGTTAGCCCCGCGTCTCAGCCGCGTTAGTGAAAACAGTCTCCTGGTAAGCTTAGCTTTACTATTTTAAGAGTTTTAATAACGACAATTTGTTTAAAATAATTGAATATCTAGTATGTAGCCACAGCTGTTTCTTTAATCTGATATGTTTAAATCATTTTGTTTTATTCATGTAAAAGTACCAGTCTCCTGCCTTTAGATAGCAAGGGGATTGGACCTATTTTTATATAAAATACTTAATAAAATAAAATTATTTAAAAATATCAGATTAAAGAAATTTAAGTCTAAAAGGAAGAAAATTATTTTATTATTTTCTAATATCTGTAGCAATTTTTAACAAATAAGTTAAGTAAGGTTTTTCCTGAAGTACAATGTTAACACTGACTTTTTTGTAAGGCATCGTATAATTAATATTAATGACTTAAGTTACTTCAGAAGTACCAATTTTTCAAAGTATGTCAACCTAAAATATCGGTTGTGATAATCAATTAGCAGAAGTAATGTTTTTTTGATTATTATATTTTATTATGACTGGCGTTATTGTCATAAAATTAAAGTCTTAAAACTATTGTCAAATTAAACTTAACAAAAATAATTTTTTTTGTCCACAAAAACATTTCAGAGTCACAGATTTGCATAAAATTGTCCAAAACTCAAAAACCAAGAGAAAAATGTGTGGGCTTTTTAAAGATATATATTTTATTTATTATTGCCCTTCATTTTATTATCAAATCTCAACATTTAATAAAATCTGTTGGGGACAGTTTTGTATAGAAAATTTCCAAATAGCAGAGAAACGCTCATATATAGTTATTGGTGTTTTCTTATGGTAGGGCCTATCTCTATTATGAACGTATATTTGTAATGTTTGTTTGATTAAAACTTCAGAAGAGTATCCAAATTCCACACGTATGTACACTTCCCGTCATATAAAACTGGTACACTTTTTCCCCAATGTAAACCTGTGTTCAAACTGAACACAATTGTTCGTGAATCAATTCGTTGCTGCCTAATAAATTTAATAACCAGAAAGAGGATTGAGTTAATGTCCAAAATATTGAACGATATTTAAACTTGGGGTATTGGCACAGGGAACATTGGAATGCATCTACTGTAATTTTATACTTCAATTACTTATAGAACACAAACTGTTAACTGTATTTTATGTCAATCAGTTAGTAACAGGCAAACTACCTAAATTTATTTATTATTTATTACATGAACGATAAATGTGAAAAACTTACATTATACTTTATCCTACGTAGACTATAAACTATAAAATATCCGGGCGAAAAACGTGACAGTATTACATTATCCTCTTATAACTATAAAAAATCCTCTTATAACTGAAAAATGCTGGTTTGGTATCTTCAGATGTTATCAGTGCGTGAAAACGTCCCGAATATATCCGAACAATTAAACATAAAAAATTTTGCTTGCCATCAGTCAGATTTGACAAGTTTTTCAAAGTGAATTTTTAAAGAGGCTACGTCAGTTAAGTCAGTTTGATAAAACGAGAATAATTTCAAAAATAGAAGATGGTAGGTCTATTCGACAACTGGCTCAAGAGTTAAATAGAAGCAAAATCACAATCCACATCAAAAAGATGGGAAAACGAGCAGACTTTGGATAGAAGGAGAGGGATTGGGAGACCAGTTATTACTACAGCCCAACAAGATGAAACATTAACTAATTATTTAAGAGCGTATCCCTTCCATACGGCAAGACAAGCAAAAGTTAAAACAAACTTTAATGCTTCTATAACTACAGCATTAAGGAGAATTAGAAGAACAGATTTTAAAAATTGTGCAGCCGCCCGAAAATATAAATTTAGCGAGGAACATACACCAAGTAGACTCCTATTTGCTTTAAATTACGTTTTAAATGATCCAGTCAATTTTTGGGGCCGTGTAATTTTTACTGATGAAAAAGTATTCCAGTCTCATTATGATGGCCATATTAGAGTTTATAGACCGCCTCGAAATAGCTTTAACGAAAACTATGGACCATTATTGAAGAAACCTGGGAAAGCTTGGCCGAAGATGAAAATTTGTCACTAAATTTAATTAACTCAGTTCCCAGAATATTACAAGAAGTGATTAATAATAATGAAGCTATGACATAATATTAACTTTTCGAATTGTAATACATATATTTAAATCCCACACTTGTTCACTGTAAAAATTATTCATTTTTTAATTATTTCAAATTAAATTTTAATTTTTTATAGTGGGTTTTATTTACTGTAGTATTCCACAACTCAATACAATTTTGTGCTACACTTTACGAGAAACCAATCACACCTCTCGATTTGAAATTAAACATAAATTTAAAGTCATGTCTAGATTTATTATCTATCATTATTTTTGAATTGAAATATTTTTATAAATTATAATAAAACACGAATCAATGTATGGTTACTAAGATAATGGAAAATTTCAAAATTGATAGAATTTTTTAAGATGTATGTTTAAATAAATGTATAAATATAAATGTGACTGACTGAACGAGAATGCTTGATATTGTTGTATATTCATGTTATATGATGTTGTATAGTTTTTAGTATACTAAAAACTTGCGACCCGTTGCACAGCTCTGCTTTTAGCTGGTTTGATATATTTTCGTTGAACTGGCAACGTTGCCTTCGAAAGTAGAATGACACATGTGACAAGCTCAACTTACACAACTTGAAAAACACGATTTTCGGTTATAAGAGTTATACATACCAGTTTTTTATGACGGGAACGGTACAGAACTATTTGTGAACAATTTGTTCCGGCTTCTACTAAACTGTTTCTCTAAAAATATATTTTTCTATTAAAAAATTATGGAAAATAAAATATCTGCTAAAAATCGCCAACTTAACAAGATAAAAATTAATGGTGGCTTGGCCACAATTTAAATAATAATCGCAGTACCATAAAAACAGAACGATTGTTTAAAAATGCAGAAATTAAAAATGATACAGAAGATAATAAAATAGAAAATGGAAGTTTGGTGATAGAAACTGGTATTTCTTGTCAAGCGTCTGTAAAAAAGAATTAAAAACAATTTGTTTTAAAATTTTCATTATACGGTATAATGTATAACTAAGTAGTAATGAATAATTATAAAAACTTGCATAACATCACTTAATGGGAATGGCATGAGTTAATCGATCTGATTAACACATTATGTAAGAACATCATTTTTCCTTCCACTTTATATTTTGATATCTCTTTTAAGATCAAAATATAAATCACAATTTTATAAAAAGCAAACTGAAACCTTTTTCATTTAAAATATCACAAATGTAACTGAAAAAATCATCTAATTGAAACTTATTAGTGTATATTCTATGTTGTAGTAAGCTTTGTAGCTCCTATCACCATGCTTCTCGATAAAAATACGCCGAAAACTAACAAACAACACACGAATCTCAGGGATTGTCAGGTATGTCAAGTATTTCAGAGACAAAAGGAGATATATCTGTTTTCATGTCTTTATGTTTCACTAAAAACTCGTGCTCCAGTAGTTGGCTATAGTTGGGCCTGTCCGTGTATTTTTTCTGGAGACATTTGCAGGTGAAATCTTCAAATTCCGGCGAAAATTGTCCGCTAGGTAACCTCGGAGGATCGTCAGCCACAACCTGTTTCAGTTGTTCAAAAGGTGTGCCCCATTTGGGGTATGGGAAGTCTCCTGTGGCTAGTTCAATTAATGATATGCCCAAACTCCAGACATCTGAACGTATATCATATTGTGAAGGGTTTCCAGTAGGATCTATTCTTTCGGGCTAAAAAAATATTATTACCATTTTATACAGGAAACCAAATATATTTTGTTTGTGAATGTAGAAGTTGTGATACTTACAGCCATGTATGGTTTACATCCCGCATCAATTGTCTTGGCTATAGAGTCTACCAAATATCCACTTATTCCAAAATCACACATCTTTACCTCTCCTTGTCTATTAATCAGTATATTTGAAGGTTTAACATCTCTATGGATAACTCTAAGCTGGGAATAAAGGTAATGTAAGGCACTAACAACGGCAAGAGCAATGTTTCCTACAATGAACATATATATTAAAATCAAATAACTTGACACATAAATCACTTTGACATACAACATATAAATATATATAATCCTTGAAAACTTCTGCATGATCAAGACCTAAAAACAATTTCTCTTTTCTCTCGTTGCAATGTCCTTCATGTTACATTTAATAAGTTTGAAGTAATAAATAGTTTTAAAAAGGGATAATGCACAGTTGCCTGGAATGACTGTTGGGTGGATCGAGTAGCTTAACAGTCATTCTTGCCGGTCCCAAGCCCGGATAAAGGAGGAGGGTTAAGCGGAAGGCCAACAACCTGCCCTTGTAAAAAACAGCCTGTTATGAAAACTGCAAATGTGCCTCGGAATCGAACAGATACATATGTAAAACGACAATCGCAATGGACAAGGACTTTGAATGTTGGAACGTGGAACGTTTTAAGCTGGTACCGGACAGGAGCAGCCATACACGCAGTAAAACAGTTAGAAAAAGTAGGAATGGACATTACGGCAATACAAGAAATAAGGTGGCCGGACAATGGAAACATAAGAATAGACAAGGCGGTCATTTTCTACAGTTGAAACCAGACAGGAAAACATGAATTCGGCACAGGTTTCGTGGTCCGAGAAGAATACTTAAACAGTGTTATAAGTTTTACGCCCATCAGTGAGAGACTGTGTTATATTAGACTGAAAGGAAAATTGTACAATATCTCAATTATATCCGCACAAGCTCCGACAGAAGATAAAGAAGAAACAATCAAAGATGACTTCTATGAGCAACTCGAAAGAACGCTGGAGAGAATTCCCAAACAAGACATGCAAATAATCTGCGGAGACTTCAACGCAAAAATTGGCAAAGAACTTAACCTAAGACCGACAATAGGACAACACAGTCTCCACGATATCTCAAACGATAATGGACAAAGGCTCGTAGAGCAAGCATCTGCTAACAATATGCTTGTAAAGTCTACTATGTTCCAACATAAAAACCTTCATAAACAGACTTGGGTCTCTAATGACAACTCCACCCGGAACCAAATTGACCAAATAATTGTTGATGCTAGACACGGAAGTAATGTCCTTGACGTAAGAAGCCTCAGGGGCGTAGATGGAGATACAGACCATTACCTAGTAAGAGCAAAAATCAGGTTGAGAATATCATCACAGAAACTTAAAACGAACGAAGTATTGGGACAGTGGAATATTGAGAAAACGCAAAATAAGGAAATCCGAGACAATTACGTACAGGAAATGGAACAACATCTAAATAGAATAGACCAGAGCAATGATGTCGAAATGCTGTGGCAACAAATGGAAAAATCAATTACAGAGTCAGCAGAACTAATAATAGGAAAAAGAAGGACGAAAACAAGGAAATGGTTTGATAAAGAATGCCAAGAAAAACTACAAGACAGACAGAAAAAGCGAAACATTATGCTTCAACAAGAAACAACAGAAAGTAAAGAAAACTATACAACATCACGACGAGAAACAAGAAAACTAATTAGAGAGAAAAAAAGAAAATACGAACAACAGCAGTATGAAGAAATGGAAAGAAATAGACAACAGTCAAATAGTCGTGCATTTTACAAATCTGTGTCAAACGAAAAGAGAGGATTCAGACCTAACTGCGTGTCTGTACTGAGGAAAAATAATGATGAATTAATAATCAACGAACAAGAATTACTCCAAACATGGCAAGAATATTTCAAAAATTTACTTAATATACACCAAGATGAAGAACATGGAGAGGATATATACCTTGGGGTGGACCTACCGGTAGAGTACCCAAAAATAGACGTAACATTGCAAGCAATTAACAAATTGAAGAACGCAAAAGCTCCAGGCTCTGACAATATACCAGCCGAATTTCTTAAGTACGGAGGAGAAACTTTACATAGACAATTACAAAAACTAATAACACTTATATGGAACGAAGAGAAAATACCAACAAAATGGCACGAAAGTGTAATAATTCCTATCCATAAAAAGGGAGACAAAACCAAGTGCTCTAACTATAGAGGCATCTCCCTACTTAATACGGCGTACAAAATCTTATCGAGCATCCTATTAAGTAGACTAACACCTTTTGTAGAAAATTTCATAGGGGAATACCAAGCCGGATTCAGAAAAAATAGATCAACCATAGATCAGATTTTTACTCTCAGGCAGCTGCTTGAAAAAGGATGGGAATCAATAGAACCATTCATAATCTCTTCATAGATTTCCGACAAGTATACGACAGCATTAAAAGGGATCAGATGTGGAATGCAATGGCAGAACTTTCAGTTCCAAAAAAACTTATCCAGCTCGTTAAAGTTTGTGTAAATGGCTGTAAATCTAGAGTGCGGATAGGTAACAAGCTCTCAAAGTCGTTTGAAATAAACAGTGGACTGAAACAAGGAGACGCGCTGTCACCTCTTCTTTTTAATATAATCCTGGAAAAAGTAGTAAGAACCGCACAAATTAGAACAGAACTATATATATATCCGGTTTTTTAGGCGTTACGCCCGTCCGGTAGGGATCTATGGAGGAGTATCACCGATCCGCAAGCCCTTATCTCTTGCCGTACTGCTCCACCATAGGCCGATCAGATCCCAGCATATTCTAGTCTAAGCCGCAGATTCATCTAGAATTTTAAACTGCTGCGTTAGACTTTTTGTTTTCTGTACACCGAGCTGGGGCTCGATCCCACATCGACTGAACCATTCGACAGTGAAGCGAATGAGAGGCAGCCGCACAGCCCGCTGAGCTATCTGACCGACAGAACTACTGACAGTAAATGGACCAAAATTACTACTAGCATACACGGATGACATTGACATTGTAGGAAATACCGTCACCAATGTAAAAGAAACCTTCAATAAATTAGAGAGAGAGGCAAAAAATACCGGTCTAAGGGCCAATGAAGAGAAAACCAAATATATGTGCATTAACAGACAAAAGAGACGAGATAAAATAGGACAAAATGTAATAATAGACCCCTATAACTTTGAAAGAGTGGAGAGTTTTAAATATCTCGGAGCGACTATCACCACAAATAACGATATCACGGAAGAGATAAAAGAGAGAATTCAGGCAGCAAACAGATGTATGTATAGCCTCCACAACACTATTAAATCCAAGAGCCTAACACGAACATCAAAAATCAGGATATATAAAACAGTAATTAGACCGGTGCTCATGTATGGGTGTGAGACGTGGACACTGACAAAAGCAATGGAAAGTAAACTCAGATGCTTTGAGAGAAAAATCCTCAGAAAGATCTTCGGTCCCTATCACGATCCGAATACTAACCAATACCGAATGAGAACAAATGCAGAGGTCAAACAAATGTATAATGCTAGCGACGTAGTCCAAGAGATTAAATCCCAACGTCTAAGATGGGCTGGCCATGTTCATAGGCTCCCTAATAACCGCCTTACCAAGTTAATCTGGGAAGAAGTCCCGACAGGGAGAAGGCCCTTAGGACGTCCACATACGCGATGGAGAGATAATATATGGTCAGATTTGAGAACAATGGGGCTACCCACTGACTTAAACATCATGGACGACCGTTCGAGATGAAAGCAGGTTGTGCAGTCAGCCAAGACCCACCCCGGGTTGTAGTGCTACCAGAAGAAGAAGAAGATAATGCACAGTAGTTGGCTGTATACCATATAATTTAAAAACTCGAACATCGAAGTAAAACTCTTCTATTGTAATTGGTATATTTAACAGAAAATTAAATTTAGAACATCAAAAGGATTAAGTTCAAAACGTTTTGGGATTAATCAGTCCATCTCAGTGTACAGTGTAGTACTTGCAAAATAATCCCAAAAACCAAACAGTGTTTAGGTTTATGTGGATTAAACCATACTTAAAATTGTTAAATTATCTGGCTATATTGCCTACAGAGAACATGTCACATGTCAGTACAAGTCCCTACTCGAAAGAGTCCAGTTCGGATGTAGAAAACTCTTTCGAGTAGGGACTTATGTTCCCTGTAGGCAATTGTAAGTCCATCGGCATATAGCCAGATAATTTAACAATTTTAAGTATAGTGTAATCCACATAAACCTAAACACTGTTTGGTTTTTGGGTTATTTTGCAAGTACTACAAAGTTCACTGAAGATTGACTGATTAGTCCGAAAACGTTCTGAACTTGATCCTTTCGGATTTTTAAATTTAATTTTTAATTAAATATACCAATTACAACAGAAGTGTTTTACTTCGATGTTCAAATAAAGAGTTTCTTTTAGTAATCCAGGAAAGATGCTGCACCTACATGAAAAAGTCTAGTACTGTGGCGAAAAATTTCTACAACAAACCGTCAAATCAAAAGAAAAGTGTAATTTATATCATTTATATCTACAGTATGTACCATACTATAGAAAAGTGAAGAGAAGCAAACATAATAAAAAAGAGACTAAAACTCTAGCTTACCTAGAACATCCTCAGGAATTTTTTTCCCATTCTTGTACACCTTTGCGTAAAACTTATCCAAACTAGTATCCATAACTTCCATGCAAATCCAAACATCTCCTTCTCTAAATAAAGCTCCATAGAATTGCACAGTATAAGGACAGTCACTGCTTCTCATAGAAATATCCAAATCCATGAGAAGTCTTTTTTGTTCTTGAGTATTGACAGTTGCCGTGATTCTTTTTACTGCCATAATAGTCTCGCTTGGAATGTGTTTCATTTTTTCTACTACCCCATAAGCTCCTCGTCCTAGATCACAGATTTTTTCTAGATCGTCTGCTTCTACATCGAATGTTTTATCTGCTATAGTGATGGTTGTTCTAGTGTTTAAGTTTGCTGGAGGACCTCTGAATAAAAAATTGTAAAATATAAATTATATATCATACAATAAAAACAGCTGAGTATATAAGAACATGCAAAACTTTAGGTAAAAAGTTTAGTAAAAACTTTTAAGTAAGGTTCACAAACTTTTCTTTTTTATGTTTATTAGTAAATCAAAATTTAGTGTTAAAATGACAAATTTACAGTTGTATTAATTTTATGGGCAGGAAAGAAAGGATATACAAGAGTTATCAGTATCAGTAGATAGGGTAATAGAGTGTGCTGTATGCGAAGCTAATATAGGTAATAACAAACTCATTATAGCATCAGTTTACAGACCATCAGGTAGCGATCTGGCAGTTTTTTTAAACAAATTTGATATTATACTGGGAAGAATTATGATAGAAAACACAATTATAATTATAGGGGGAGATTTCAATATCAATCTTAAGAATAACACATTAGATAAAGTAAAATTTTGTATGTTAATTAACTCATATAATATTTGTCATGTAATTGATGACTACTCTAGAGTAACTGCCACATCTAAAACTTGTATAGATAACATACTAACAAATATGCAATCATATGTGTCAGTAGAAGTCTTGCATGCTGGAATCTCTGATCATTCTGCCCAAAAATTAACTTTTCGGGTAGAGGAAGCAGAAACGAATACTCTTGAAATGAAAAGACATTTTAGTACAAATAATATTGAAACCTTTATAAGTAAATTACATAATCATGACTGGCTTAATTTAAGTTACAAATGTGTAAATGATCAATGGAATACTTTCTTAAATCAGTTTCTGTATATATTCAATCAGTGCTTTCCTTTTAAAAAGTTAGATTCTAGGCAACGTAAAAAAGGCCTTAATAAAAGAGATGATCCAGAGATAATAGAATGTAAGACTCGTTTAGACATCTTGTTTACAATGAGCAGAGTTAACCATAAATTCTATGATTCCTATAGACAGGTAAAAAAAGAATATAATAAGAAACTAATAACAAAACGATCAAAGCTATATGAAAACAGGATGTCTGAAGCTGCCAACAAAAATAAATGCATGTGGCAAATTGTTAGTGAAATTAATGGTCAATTAAAAAGTGTTAATTCAATGAAAGTAGAGGGTAGTCCTCAAGAGATTGCTGATAAATACATGATCCACTTAAATACTTCTTTAAATAACACTTTATCTCAATTACAATACACTGAATATAAAGACAACATTGCAAGTAACATAAATTCAGTGTTTGTCGCACCTGTGACAGAAACTGAAATTATGGATATACCTAACTAAAAATTTAAAAAACAAAATGAGTTGTGGAATTGATGAAATACCCACTAAAATCCTTAAACTTTGTATAAAGGAGATAGTGAATCCTCTCACTACAATCATAAATAATTCACTAAAATCTGGTGTATTTCCTGAATGCCTGAAAACTGCCATAGTAACACCTGTTTACAAAAAGGGTGATCCTAAATTAATTAATAACTATAGACCAATTAGCCTTCTATGTTCCTTTTCAAAAATCTTAGAAATGACTATGTATAGGCGGATAACAGAATTTTTAACAAAATGTCATATTATTAATGCAAATCAGCATGGTTATCAACAGGGAAAATCAACTCAGACTGTGATTTTTCAATTTGTCTGGGATATTTTGAAATGTACTGAGATTGGTCATATGGCTTTGGGTCTCTTTTTGGACCTATCAAAGGCATATGACTGTTTAGTGCATGACATATTATTTGATAAATTGGAGAAATATGGTATACGTGGACCAGCATTGAACTGGTTTAAGTCCTACTTGGCAAATAGGAGATATTTAGTAAAAATACATAAAAACACTGAAATAGGCATCTCATCTGAAAGCACTATTAATATTGGAGTACCACAAGGAAGTGTGATTGGTCCTTTACTGTTTGTGATCTATATCAATGATCTTCATGGTCTAGTGGCTAATACTACTTCCAGCATAACAAATTATGCAGATGATACAAACATTTTAGTCAGTGGTAAAGACATGTCTGTTCTAAGCGTTAATGCTAGTTTAGAGTTCCAGAAAGCTAAAGACTGGTTTTCTATGAATAGGTTGGTTTTAAATCAAAATAAAACAGATCTTCTTTTGTTTAAGACAAATTATGCACATTCAGATATGCCAAACAGTATTATTGTAAATAATGACACTTTAAATATTAGCAGCAGTACCAAATTTTTAGGATTATATATTGGCAGTTTTTTATGTTGGGATAAACATGTTGACCAGTTATGTATGTCTTTGAGTAAAGTGATTTACAGCTTTAGAGTTCTAAAAAAATACATGAATAGTAACTCATTAAAAACAGTGTATCATGCTAATTTTGAAGCAAAATTTAGATATGGTCTAATAAATTTTGGCCACAGTAGGGACATAAATAATGTATTTCTGGTTCAGAAAAAAATACAGGTTAAGTATAACAGAAAAAAACGCTCTTTATTGCTGCATTAAATTGTTTAATAAACTGCCTGAACCTATTAAAAGGGAGGAAAGATTAAGTTTGTATAAACATCAAATATTTAAATTACTGGTAGCTCTTGAGCCATATTCTGTGGAGGACTATTTGTATATGTAACGGTTAGGAATAAGTAAATAATATTTTCGTTTGTGACACTGTTTTTTTTTAAATAATTTTATGTTCACGGAATGTATATTATTTTCTAAAAATAAAGATATTGTTATGTTATGTTATGTAACTATTTACTAAAACTGACTACTAACTGACCTACCACCTAATAAAACTACAAATGACACAAAAGTTTTTATATAATAGGCGACTTCAATACAAAAATTACGGAAGGTCGACGAGGTTAAACTGTAGGTTCTTATGGTCTTGGACAACCTAACGGTCGAGGGCAGAGATCATATGAGTTCTGTAAACAAAACGACATGATCATTACAAATACCTGGTATAAACTACCCAAGCGAAGACTATATATTTGAAAAGCCCCATTCGATGACGGTGGTACCTTGGGTCTTTAAGAAATCAAATAGATCATATACTTGTAAGTGAGCGCTTCCAAAATGCCGTCAAAAAAATCACTAAATTTCTAGGAGCAGATATTTGATCTGGTCACCAACCCCTTGTGGCAGATATTAAACGAAGGTTAAAACGATTCCAGTGACAAAAACCAAAAAGGAATGTGCTTTGACGATATAAACATAAAAGATAACATTAAACTGTAGCGTTTTTTTTTATTTAAAGTGTATAGAAAAGATTTCTGTGGTACGTCCCTGTTGTTTCTACCAAGAACTCGATCAATAAAGTTAAATGAAGGTACGTTGTAAATATTTCAAGTTTTTTTTTTGACGAGATTTTTAAATGCGTATTAACGTTGGAAATATGTTTTTATCTCTGTGTTGCAATGTTAGGTGAAACAAACAAGTTTTTTGTCGCCAAAGAGGTATTATGTTAAAACGCAATAAACCATGAATTCCCCTAATATTAAATTTGTTTTTCGTATTTAGACGAGGGTCAAAAAATAGAATATTTGTTTGTTTAGGCAATAAAGGAACATTTAAAAGTTGTTTTTTTGTCGATACGAGCGAGGGGATATTGTTTTGGTTCTTGAGTTTGTGGGGACAGGTTAGCTGCAAGACGGAAGGGAAATTTTTGGCGAGTTTCTTGTAAAATGTAACGAAGCAAAGGAGTCGAGATTTGAGTTCCAAGCGGGGCAGACGTGACAATGGAAGTCGACATTTAAGTTCCAAGCGGGGCAGACATGTGAGAATGGAGTCAAAGATTTGAAACGAAGTCGAGATTTGAGTTCCAAGCGGGGCAGACATGTGACAATGGAAGTCGACATTTAAGTTCCAAGCGGGGCAGACATGTGAGAATGGAGTCAAAGATTTGAAACGGAGTCGAGATTTAAGTTTCAAACAGAGCAGACATGTGACAAGAGGTCGACGATTAGATTTGAAGCAGAGCAGACGTGCTACAATGTGAGTCCAAGAACCTATTTGAAATGGTGGTAGACGCTTTTTGCGGATGTGAAATGTTGGGCCATTTTTGAATCAAAGAGGATTCAATTTCTTCTGAAATGTCTTAGGACCGGTCAATGATAATACTATCAGATTTAAATAAATACCGGAAGCTTCTAAGAAGTATGATATAGGATGTCCCCGTAGTCGGCTTATTTTTTTCCACTAAGTTCCTGTTCCAATCGTTTTGTCCTGGAGTGTTGAACTAGTTCCTGATGGTTGCTGCCTTCCAGTTTTGAAAGTTTTGTCCGAGTAGCTTCCCCAGAGATGTAAAGTTTCAAAGTGTTTGTATAAAAAAAACATTAAGGTAACAATTCAATATATTAATTTTTCAAAGTAAAGACAGATATTTTTTGGCTAAAGTAATAATTGCTTTCATTCTTTGTCATCAAAATTAAATGTGATACCTGACAGCAAGTTTAATTTGTTTTTTTGTTATGACAATTTTAATTTGATTATTATGTAGAAACGATATTTCATATATAAGGTTAAATTTATATGTTTTCATTAAGAAGGATCCTTAATTTTTGATAATCTAATTGGCCATAATATAGTAAACAAAGAACATGTAAGTTTTTGTTATTTGTATTATGTTATACGATATGTTTCTTTTATAATATGTATTTTTGATCTGTTTAGTTTGAGACAAGAATAAACGTTCAATTTGTTTCTCTGATATATTTTGAGTTTTATTTGAAAAAGATATTTTTTTCTATATTTTTGATGTTATACAATTATTTCCCTAGTTACAACTAGTGGTTGTAATAGGTATAATTGGGCACCTCAAGTGGCGCCCTATATTAAATTTCTTGAGGTGTTTCTGTTTATTTTCATTCTGTTTGTCCCAAGAGATTTGTATAAGTACCCCTTTATTTTTTTTGAGTTGCCCCAATCTCACCCCCAATATCTCAACTTATCCACGACCCAGCTCTCCAACAACCAACTGAGTGTCCGTATGCACTTGTTTCGATTATTTTGTTTGCCCAATCTTGTCCCCCATATTCTTACCCTGTGGTAAGCAAAATAGTCGTTACAAAACAGGGATTTAACAATAGTATAAAGAACATCGGAGAACAACTATAGTAAAATTCATTAAGCGATGCAGGAAGATGTAAACATTAAATCGTGTCCGAACCGGTATGAGCTACCGAAAACGTCGGCAGACGAAATAAAGATGGACATTTCGGTTAGTTTTTAAATATTTTTGAAGAACTGTTACTTGCATTTATGCATAAAATATTCATTAATTTTATAAATCGGATTATTTTTTCACTTACTATGCATTCAGTGATAACATTAATTTATTTGCTATGCAATAAACACGAATATTTGAGAAAAGAAAAAAAATAATAAAGTGTCATTATTATACTGTTACTTATCGGAACGAGTAGACTCATTTGGAACATCTTTAACAATTATCTGTTAAATTTATCGTTGTTTATATGCCCTGCATCACTTAATGGAATAAAGTATAGAAGATCTAGCGGAACTATGGATTAAATTTAAGAACTAAACGAAATCTGCACAAACATTGATTGTAGACGCACAGATGATCATAACACAGATGCGAAAGACAAGCAACAACTCTTGTACAAAACGTTTTGATAATCTCCCAAATTGAGTTACCAAGAGGGTATTTGAGTTAGTCTGTAGGCCCAAGTTTATTTTCAGTTCGTAAATAATCGCGCTGCAATTCATACATTTTATGCGCTTATTGTAGTGGTAAATTGATGGGCGGATTATTGGGAATTGTTACTATTCATTCTTCATTTACTTCTTTACCTTCGATTATCATACGGCCTTGATTGTCTCCCAGTGTATGGATGGAATTGGTTATATGTCCTCTTTTCTCATAGGAAATTGCTTTATAGAATTCTCTGGAGCCTGGTTTGGGCCGATCTTTCTTCATAGCTTCATATTTTTGTTGTTCATAGTTTCTTTTTTTTGTGCGTATTATTTTTCTTGTTTCTTTTCGGCAGTCGTCATATTCCTTTTTACTTTGGTCTGTTTGCAGTTGTATTCAAGTCTTTCTTACTGTTTGTCTTTTTTCCAGCTGTTTCTGACATTCCTCGTCATGCCATGTTTTTGCCCTCTTCTGCCTACTCCTTCCAAAGATCTTGTCCGCTGTCTTGGTTATTATTTTGGCAGTCGCTTCCCATAGCTGTTCTATATCATTGTATTCTCTTTCAGAGTTCAAGGTTTGTTCAAGTTGTTCTTTATAGTTTTGTTGTTTCTCTGCATTGTGTATTTCGTCCATGTTCCATTGTGGGTTAATTGTTGTTTTGTTGTATTTGTGGCTAGATATTCTGGATTTGACTTTTGCTCTGACTAAGTAATGATCTGTGTCTCCGTCTATTCCTCTCAGGCTTCTTATGTCTATAATATTGTTACCATGACGGGCATCTACAATGATATGGTCAATTTGGTTGTGCATAATATGGTCATTTGAGACCCAGGTTTCCCCATTGATTGACAAATATCCTGATTATTCAGATCTTTTGACAGGGATCTAAGGCCCGTATCTTTTGACAATAACTTAATCCCAAGTATTGTCTGCTTCTCATGTCCAATTGTTGGTACCAGTAACTCAAAACTTTCGGAATTGTTACTTCCTCAGAATTACCTACAACTGTCCGATGATTTTAAGTGGGGGATAAACCTTCTTCTTTTTTCTTGGATAGGTGGTGAAATTTTTAGTGGAACCAACTCACTTCTCGGTGGGCTCTCGTTGAGCACAGGTCGATTATCTCGTGAGACTTCTCGGTGGCCTCTCGTTGAGTGTGGTCGCTTGCCTGAAATTATCGTCTCTGTGAATTATTTTCTAAGTGTGTATACACTCTATATTTCAGTTTTCTTGTCTTAGACTATATTAAGTTATATATAGTTCTACACTACCTTTAATGGTACCTAATTAAATTCAGTGTTGAATACCAGTACAGTATATTAAATTCAGTGAATTAAGCTGCTGTCATCAGGAATTATGTAAGTTACCATAATCTTTACTAAATAAACCCAAATTATCTGGGCGAGTAACATTCATCCATATCTTCATCTGTAGATTGCCGATTTTTATATTTAATTTAAAGAACAATTCAAGAACTTTCCATAAATAAAAACTATGAACATCTCAGTTTAGCATTAATTAATAGTGCGAGATAGTAACCCACCTAGCCAAGTGCGGTTTGGCTAGTTAATGTTTTCAACTCTGTAACCTGTTTGTTTTTGTTTTTGTAAATTTAGAGTTAAGAAATTTTTGCTATCTTTTGTATTTGCTATAATTTTTGCTCATTATCTTTCCTAGAATATCTCGAGATACGCCAAACTATATTTGTATATGATTGCCTTATATATCTTGGTAAAGGTATTTTTTTATTACATTATTGCTTAATTTTATACATATATAACACCATTTCATAGTTGTGTATTTTTATTACTTGTGTTGCATTTAGCAGTATCATAATTTTGTGTTTAATATATTGTTAATGTCTTATGCATGTATTTTATTTGTCGGCTCCTAACAAGTTCCCTGATAAAATAGTAGCTCTAAATATTTGCTTAGTGTATTAATTTATTACTATACCTTTGACCAGTAGAAAGATCAGGCTGATTAAGTTTCGTAGGTAAGTAAGTGTAATACCTAATATATTTATTATTTGTTTATATATTGTGTTGACCAAATTTATTTGATAATTAACTGTTGGTATCTTTCCTTGGGTTTGATCTCTGAAGGATATCTTTCCTTATCTCTTTGCTTTTCTAAGGTTTCTTAATTTTCTCCTTAACCCCAAAAAATTGAGTGGCGCCCTGTTTCTATCTTCTCTTATCTTTGGTAATTTTACCCATCTATCTTTTTGTTTATTTCTATATCTTTTCTAATATCTCTTATCCTATCTTTACTTATTTCGTCCATTGGACCCAATCCCGGTTCCAAAAGCTAGTTTCGAACCCACGACTCGCTCTCCACCAACCATCAGGCTGCCGTCCGCAGTGTCTCCATTGGTTATCTTTCTAGCACCATCCAAAAAAGATTTCCTAGGTTACAACATGACTCATCCTCTATATTGACCCCACCATCGATCCAATATCACTACCACTACTACACACTTTGGTTGTTAAGTAAAACAACTTTAGCATTTGCAGGGAGTTGTCATCTATGTACTTGATTTATATCAAAATCACCTTCTGACTCTTTGTGAATATCTGATCCACATTTAAATAATTTTCAGATGCTATGTGGAGAGCTTTCTCTAAAGTCAAACCCCATATGAAAAAAATAAATATAGAAATAATTAATAGTGGCGTATTGACCTAACATTGCCATATAGCAACAAAGATCACTGTTACTATGAATGCACCTCAAATAATAATTTTATGTATTCTACATTATTACTGAAGTTTCATCTGGTTGTTTGATATTTATTACGAAATTATGTTAAAAAATTATAACTTACCAAATTATATTAATATTACTTACTCGAATTGAATGCTAATGAAATTTTGAATGCAACCACAGGAATTCACTACAAATATATCTTGCGAACAGGTAAATTCACAATACGATCAGAAAACACATATTCAGACAATCTTACCTAAGTGACCTGCAGCACCATCTGCATAACAAAAGACAAATTTTATAGAGACACCCGATTTGCGTTGCCATATGGCAACGCTAGGCTAAAATGGTTTAACCTGTAATCATGTAAATGTTTATTAATTAGTTCATTGTAATAGGTATTGTCTGTTTGTATTTATTAGCTAATTAAAGTACTAACAATTATTACTATATCATATTTAATATTGACTTGTTTGAAGCCAATCCCAGGTAATTATTTAGTTAATTATTATGTTTATGATATATCTTTATAAGATTTTATATAATTTTATGATTATACTGTAAATAGGACCCTGTTAGGCAATAGACGAGATGATTTGAAAGTTTTACAATAAAAATGTGTTTTTTAAGAAAGACTCACAAATATTTTGCCAAAGCAAAATAATTATTTTATTCCATTGTTGCTATTTTTGAATGCCTTTTGTGTGACCTTCAACACGAAATTAAAAAAAAGCTAATAGTTTACATTACCGTATGAATTTATTTATCAAATAATAATAACTTATAACTACCTCAAAGTTATATTAATCAATCTGCTATGATCTTAAATGTAAAAACGTTAATTAACGGAAAACTTACACTTTCGGAACCGTATCGTCTGAAACTTGAAGCTTTAGACCTGGTTTCTTCTTCCTCCCAGACATTTTACCAATTCTGGAAATGCAAAAATATTATCCCACGTGAGATACACAGTCTTAAATTTTAAAAGGAGGCTTTCCCTAATTACCAATTGTATAACATGGGCGAAAAGAAAAGTGTTTTCGACATTTATAAAATTATTTTAACCCACCTAATATTTACGCTTGAGAGCACAAAATGCGTTTTATCGGCACAATTTCAATAACAAACGTGACCATATATGAAAAGATGTTTAATAAAAAAAAGAAAAACTTTTTGACGCAAATAAACTTGACAACTGGTTTTTGACAGAAGTCAAAGTCAATCAAACACATCAAGACAGTGACGTGTTATGTGTTATTTTAGGGAGGATGGAGGACCATCAAAGACGTAATATTCGTTGCGTATATTTGCAACGCGTACACAATCAATTATTAACGAATTAAATTGAGTGAGAACTGAGAACACAGTTTATTTCTCAATACATAAGCTATTGATAGTCTGATTTAGAAATAAACACGATATTTTTTTCGTATTATTAAATAATGAAAATAGTTTATTGCTATAAAACATAACAGTTGACATAAAAATGCCACAAAAAAAAACAGTTTAAGAACTTATAATTCAAATCAATTATAGAATTGTTCCCATATTGTTTCATTGTACAATAAGCTGCAGCAGGACGGGTTAAAAAAATATTTAACTGAAGTGGAAATCGAAACGTCACAATAAACGTATTTTCAACTGAAATTGTGGTTCATTCCCATTCGAGATGGTAAATATTATTAAAATACCTCAATAAAATACCTTAAGGGCAGTATTACTTTTAAAAAATATATAAAATGTCTGCAAGGCCTTGTTTTAGTGTTAAATTTCTTTCTAATACGCGTATTAGATAGCGACAAAAACTTATATGGCCGTGATTGTTTCTTAAAGAAAACTAATCATTTTCCACATATTGGCTTTGAGAAAATGTTATTCCCAAACCAATCGATATCTTACGGGTTGGTTTGGGAATTTATTTTTATTGTACAGCCAGCAATTGACGGATTTGTAGTTTACTGTTTTTATTTGCGAAAAGTGAAAGGAAAAATTGAGGGAAAGAGAGGCCTAGGAAGGAAAAGACTATCGTGGCTCAGAAACATCCAACAATGGACAGGGCTAAATTTTGAACAGCTAATAAGAACAGCTGAAGATAGAGAAGAGTTTAAAATTGTAGTAGCCAACCTCCATTGAGGAGAGGGCACTTTAAGAAGAAGAAGAATTTGCGAAAAAACATACTAAAATTCCTACAATATATAAAATTAACAATATAAAAAACTAATTAATTCCAACTACGTACTGTTCTCTTGCTGTCTGCTAAATTATTTGTTTTTGTTTTTGTTTGTGTTTAAATGACTGCGGACACTAAATCCATTCGCCAATCTTACAATTTGAGGTGTAGTGTGTGTGTGTGTGTGTGTGTGTGTGTGTGTGTGTGTGTGTGTGTGTGTGTGTGTGTGTGTGTGTGTGTAGAGTAATTGTCTTGATACTTAACAAAGTCGACGTCATTGTCTTTGCTAAGAGACGCTAATTGTATCCGAACGTCTGCGGTCCCTCCGGTGTGTACCGATCACACAAGGATAGAAATGCTAAATTATTTAAATTATTCCCTAATCGGTGACAGCTTGGTTTCTGACGTTTTGATATTATATTTGACTATAAAATATTGTCTATTCGCTTAGCTAGGGCATATTTTGACAGACTCATTGTCGGAAACCTACAACACAAAATTCCTACTTCTCAGTATTAATAGCTCAAGTATATTACTATTGCAGACTTCTTTCTTTGAAAAAAAGAAGAATTATTCTAAATAGTGGAAGTGTATAATAAACCCATCAAATTTTCCCTGTATATTTAAAATATATTATTTGAATTGTTACAATTTAAAATATTGTAGTAAATATTTGTATTATTCGCGTTGTTTATTTAATTTAATATAGTTTTATTGTTTTATTATCTTTGTTTAATTCTTTTGTTAGTTCTATTCAGTTAATTAGTTAGTTATATTTTAAATTTTATTATTATGGATAGTCAAAGTTTTCCATTTGTTCCATCAGCTAATGCGTTGGTAAGTTTTTCTTAATAAATATGATAAAATGTTTTTTAAAAGTTAATATTTTTAGATTAGTTGTTTCTAATTTAATATAAACTTGTTTATACTTACATGGAGGTTTTTGTTGTTTGTTTGGGTTTATATGACTGCAGACTGCGGCCAGTACACTGAATTCATTCACCATATATGTGGAAGATTTTAACATCCTCAAATGCTAATGAGCAAAAATTACTATTGAACTACGAATTTGCCTATTCAAATTACTAATATTTGCTTTTAGCATATGGAAGTACACTTATTTTGTAAGATAATAAAACAACAGTTTATATTAATGCTATCCAATGAACTGTTAATCTTTAATAATTGATTCCATCCTAGTCACAACATAAGGAACTTGCTGTGTCTTATTTAACCTCACTTTGACTTTTTAATTTTGTAGAATTTATTCCCACTTTTTTATTTTGTACAATAAATAATTTTATTATTTGTTATCAATACATTATACGGTGTAAATAAATAAATATTGATTGTCGGCAAAGTTCTATTTTATTTACTTTTGTTTACATTAATATTGACTAAGAGCACGTATGCTTGGTTGTATAGTAATTTCCAGCCACTTCGAGTCTGTCAAAAAGTAACTAACTTCGCAAAAAAATAATTACTAAAATCACTAGACAGTTATCGGACTGGGAATAGCGAACCGGGTATATATATACTATAAAACAGTAACAACGGGAAATTTTGGGTAACATGATAGAACTTAAAATTAACTGAATACATTGTACCATTGGTCTCTTTACCATCTTTTTGGTCTCGATTTATTGGCATTTCTGCTAATTTTATAGCAGGACGTTCATAATATATTCCATTTTTTGTTTGAACTATTGCTCGTCGCAATTGCTCATCAGGTGATTTTTTAACTTCAATTATCTTACCCTTTGGCCAATTGCATCTTGGTAAATATTTATCACATATAATTACAATATTGCTCTCTTTAATTGGTACAATTTGTTTATGCAATTTTGCCCTAAGTAGTATCTTCCTTTAAAAGTCCAATTGGTTTATCTCCATTTAAAGATCCAATTAAAAAATGATTTGGGGTTAGAGATTCAGTTTCTTCAGATTCTATATGGAATATTCTATTGGTCTTGAGTTTACTATGTTTTCTGCAGCTATGAGACAACTATAAAGTAATTGGTCAGTAGGGTTCCTGGTTGGTAATGAATCATAACGAAATTTTAACCGCTTTCACTAGGCGCTCCCAGGCCCCACCCATATGTGGGAAAGGGGTGCGTTGAAGTGAAATTTTAGCTCTGGGCTAATCAGAGAATTGGCTATTAATTTACTGTCAACTTTTTGCAGTTCTTCTCTCAATACTCGTTCAGCTGCAATGAAATTCGTACTTCGATCACAATAAATGTGCCTTGGTCGTCCTTTTCTGTTAATAAAATTTGTCAAGTAGAGTATAAAACTGTCCATCTAGTTTGCAAGCTACTTCGGGATGGACTGCTCTAGTCGTGAAACACGTAAATAAAGCTCTCCATCTTTTCTCCGTCCGTCTTCCGATAGTAATGTTTATTGGACCAAAATAATCCATACAGTGGTCCTAATCTTATTAACTAGTTGTCTAAGTTTTGGTATATAAAATTTTTTTCTTATCTCATTTATTACAATTTCATGATTTCTATGGTGATATCTTTTGTGATAGTCTTCAACAACTAGTAAAGTTAAACGACTTTCTTTCGCTAAAATTATTAGCCTTTTTGTTTCTCTGAAATAACATCTCTAGCTTCATCTAATCTTTCTCTTATACGACGTAAATCATCTTCATCCAGATATGACAATAATTTAAATAAACTACTTGATTTATTAACTGTTTTCTGTAAACTACCAGAATTATTAGTTTTTAATTGTTTTATTTCATTTTTGAAATATTCACATTGAGTTTGTTTTATTAAAATATTCCTAGCATCTAAAAGTTCTTCTTCCCAAATTAATATTCCTTTAGGCTATTCAGATTTAATCAATTTTGCATAAACAATTCTTAAAAATCAAAACATATATGCAGTTGCTCTTAAAATTCTATTAAATTGACTGAATCTTTCAAAATCTATTAAAGTGGACTATTAAATTTTAGTTCATAAGTGGTTAAGATTTCATCAGCCTTTTCCTTCTTACGGGTGGTGTCTGGAGGCCAACTGTTTTCTAATTGATACAGAAAATCAGGACCTTTAAACCAACACCTCGTGTTTTTCAAATTGGGACTTTTTATCCATTTGGTAGCTTCGTCAGTTATGTTATTCTTAGTATGTACATATCTCCAATGTGATACCATTGAGTTTTGCTGAATTTAGGCCACTGTAAGCTACATATTTTGGTAAATTTCTTGGGTCTTCATTTCTTAACCAGCTTAAAACTGTTGAAAAATCTGTCCAATAAACAATGGTGTGCACAGGTATTAAAATATGTTGACAAAGGTTTACAGCAAATCTTTTTTTGGCCATATTCTAAGCGTTGTTGGTTTCCGGTCCATTTTAAGCAAAATTGTTCTGGGTTTCCCATTATATTTAGCTTTTAGCAATACTTTCTTCTAAAAAGTAACGGAAGACCCTTCATCTAGAAAGGAAAATGTAGTGACCTGCCTACTTCCATTTTTTAAAACAACGGGAAGTATTCGAAAGCGTGTTCCTTGATATGCATTACTTTCTTCATCTGCAGATAAGAGGTGTGATTCTACTGTTTGCATACCGTTTTCCATTTTGATAAGATTTGTACTTTTATTAGATACTTGTTCTGAAAATTCATGAAAAAGAGGATGATGCTTTCTTTGGCATTCTTCTTTGTTGCATTTTACAGGATACTTACAGATACAGGAAAATCTGTGTTTCTTTAAGCAAAGCCTACATAAATTTAACACTTTAACAGCCTCCCATCTTTGAGATAATGAATATCTCTGAAATTCTGGACAACCTGCCATCTTTTTACAATCTATCTGATTACAGTTTACAATTATGTATTTCACTGGACGTATTTGGTCCATGTATATTAGTATGCGCATTATTATTAAATTGACTTTTTTTATTACTTTGGTCATTAAGGGCTAGTGTAGGTATAGCAGAACAAACATTTGTTGCTAGATTATACAACCAATCAGCAAGTTCACTTAATCCCTGAAAATTTTGAACAGGGCTGCGATATATCGCCCAATTAACTTTAATTTGTGAAGGTAGTTTTTCTAATAGTTCATGCATAAAGGTAGGGTTATTAAGGTAGTCTTTTAAATTAGATGCTTCCAATAAAACACATAAATGTTTAACTACTAAAGCAAATTCTACCAGAGTTTCAAGTTTTTCCGGTTTAGGTCGAGGTGGTAATCTACGAATAGAATTTACATGAGCTTCAATAATTTGCTCAGGTCTTCCAAGAAGAATTTTTAATGTAGCTATAATTTGGGGCACACATTGAAATAAAATTAAAAAACTTGAAACACTGACTCTTGCTGGACCTTTTAAACATTTTTGTAATCTTAATAAATTCTCATGATTATCTATTTGGCATAGCTCAGTAGATCTTTCAAAACTACTAATAAAAACAGGCCAGTCATGTGCATTGCCATTAAAAATAGGGTGATCTCCAGGATCCCTTCTTTTATATAATATACTTGAACTTTTATCGTTATAAGTTGGCAGAGGCTTACCAAGTGTTGGAGTTAAATGTTCGGTGGTTGAAGGGACGGAACAACATTATGGATAAAGTCTGTCCCAAACCCTTCTTTTAGTGCGTCATATAGGATTTTAACTAAATGTGACGTCATATAGGATTTTAAAAATGTCGAAAATTATTTCATGACATTTTAGTTAAATCTGACAGTTGCAGGATCGTAATCGGCTAAATGTTAAAAGGGAATTTTTTTTAAATATATAGTGTTTGTTCTTTCTCGGTATATCTCGGTATATTTAAAATATTTTTATGACAATAAATACAAAATTAAATTTTGACTGTAAAATGTCTGAAAATAGGTGCTAACCTGGAATGACAATTATCAGTTGACATTGTGAAAGTACTATCACGATCGAGACAATCTGTGTCAAATTATATTTATGCGCATCATTGATTGGATGTCTATTTAGCGTATTCTAAACTCCAACCAATTATACATCCGTAAGTAGAATTCGCTTTAATATGCGAATAACCGTGAACGATACATAATTTTCTAAGTTCTATGTATAATAATCACAGACTCACGTTTTTTTCTGTCACTTCTAGCCTAATGCGTTAGTGAGAGCGCCCACCAAACTGGCATGGCAAGTGGCAAATAGCAAGTAGCACGCGTCTAGCATGTAACCAATGGAAACGAATTATTATAATGAATGAAGTCACTGTCATTTTGGTGTGCGATGAATAATTCATTTCCATTGGTTACAATTTAAGTAACATGCTAGACGCATGCTACTTGCTACTTGCCACGCCACTTTGGTGGGCGCTCTCCTAGAGAGAATTCGATCAACTATGACGCACTGAAAGAAGAGTTTGGGACGGACTGTATCTATATTTAAAGAAGGGAATTTATTGACCAAAGGGTTAGTTTCAATTATTTCCTCTTCATCGATGTCCTGACTATCATTCGAGCACTCATTTTCTATTATGACTCTCCTAGACTCCTTTGTTAACTCTCTTTCTTGACGTAATAGATCTCGTTCTTCCTGCAGAAGTTGAAGCTTCATTTTTGTTTTGCGGCTTGTTGCGATATGGAACTTTTTACACAAGAGCGTCTACACAAAGAGGGCACTTCCAGCTGTCATCACCAATTACTTCGGAATCATCCTGTACATTTACGCATTCAAAACAGCACCATTTTTTACATTCTGTACATTCTACCATCCGTTTTTCACGAAATGTTTTGTCGCACACAGGACATAGATCAATTTTGGTTCGTCCAGCAATTGATGGACCCATATTCTTCGACCTTGTAAGATTGTGTGATTCAGCAATCGCGTGTGGCGAATAGAATTTGACCTTGTTGGGAATTTATCTTTATTGTACATCCAGCAATTGACGGATTTGGAGTTTACTGTTTTTATTTGCGAAAAAACAAACTCAAATTCCTACAATATATGAAATTGACTATAAAAAACTAATTAATTACCATTACTGTTCTCTTGCTGTCTTCTAAATTATTCCCTAATCGGTGACAGTTTGTTTTTTAACGTTTTGATATTATATTTGACACAGACTATGAACAGTAGCAACGGGAAATTTTGGGTAACATGATAAAACTTAAAATTAACTAAATACATTGTAAAATTGTACACAAATAATAAATATTCGTAACAGGTTGCTAGACGCATAATATCAAATTTCTTGTAATTTTTGCAGTTATAATCCCTTTTTGTGGAAATCTGGAGAATTGTCAAAGTTATTACTGTTTTTTAGAACTCTCCCAAAAAATATATAAAAATTCAAATTAGATTAGGTTGAAAAACTTCGTTAGGGACTTCGTTACGTACCATGGAACGTGACTGTGGTGTTTAGTGAGTGAAGTAAAATTTTTTAAGTGTTGGTGCACATCTACTAAGCTTTCCTGTTTTACAATATATTAGATAAAAGTTACTCAAATCAATAAAGATTTAGGTGGTAAGGTGAAATAATTCAAGACTTATATGATAAGGTTTGAATCAATATAAAATTGTACCTAATAGAACAAACAAAAACAATAGAAAATAATAGAATGACCATAATACTATAACAAAACAAGATAAGTCAAAGCGCATGTTCTTGTGACGTAAGGTTAATTTTTCTATGCACATCACATAAAATTTCACTGAACAGCACGGTTCCGTTTAAAACATGGTTGATTCCGTCTGCGCGAAAAAAATGCGCGTACTTATTTTGACAATCAGAGTAGGCATTCTGATTGTTCATTATTCTGTGTTTATATGCATACAAATATTTCATATTATTTATAGGAATAACTAAAAAATATTTTTGAAAATATTTTATATTGAAAAAAGAACAGATACAAAATGAAAAACACTAGTATAACAATATATTGTGAATATTGTTGTGAAGCTATTTTCTTGTGGCATTTTAAAGTAATTACTGTTTAAATGGGAATACGTCACAATTAAAGGTTAAAGTAAGTTTATTTATGTTTTAATTTTCACATCGGATATCGTTCTCAAAATACAAACATTAGTTTGTATTACGTACTATATAATTTTCTTGTCTTGTTCTAACATTTTACGGTGGAATAGCTTTTTTTTCGTCTAGTAACGCTATATTTTCCAATAAACGCTAAGGTATTACTTCCACTTTCTTTTTTCTCATCTGTCACATCTTGTTCCGATTCATTTCCACCATCACCACCTCAATTTAATCTATTTCGCTTTCACTTTCCTCATCGTCAAAATAATTTTCATCGTCGGTAGGAATCATGTCCATAATTCCAACAAGCGTTTGGAATCAAAGTCGTTTGGCTTCAAAGGACATCTATAAATAAGAATTGACAAAAACTTACCGATAAAATGTAATAATAAGATGATAAATATTTACCTGTTCTGCAACAACTAATAGCTACACGGTTAGTCGCTACGGACTCTGGCACCGAAAATAACTATAAAACTCACACGACTGTACCCAGGAATACAAGAATGTCCACCAAGACGAGTTTGGTTGATAGGGAGAGGTACAGAAAGTGGCGATAGAAAAATAACAGTTATTTCCATAACAGTAAATCCCGAATGAATAATTTTGTCGTCAAGTGTGTGAAACCGATAGCGACTAACGGAGGGTTAAAAAAAAGAGAAGAATAAACATGAGTAATGGAAGTACATATTCATTAATTTTCATTAGAAACTTTCCATTTTTAAATACTAATCTATAAACAGTTATAAAATTTCAAAAATAATTTTCACTATTCCTAATTTTAATTTATGTTAAATATTTAATTTTTTTCGTACGTCACTGTCAAACACATGTCCATATTTATTTTTCTCTCAAGATTTCGAGTTGCCATTATGACTGTCCTTGAACATGGTTGTCAAAGTTCACAGTGACAGAAAATATTCTGATAAAACCATTAAACCAATAAAATTTACTGTATGTTTTCTTTGTCTCTATCCCTATTGTTGATTTGCTAGAACACCTTGGATGTTTTCTTTTTTTATCCGTCTCTTTTGCATTGATGTTGATGGTCTTAATAATACTGAGCAATAATACTGAGCTGTGTTTTTGTAGTAAAGGTAGTTTTCGTGATTAATTTTGCATCACCGCAACAGGGTTGTGAATTACCTACCTGTCATTCGATGTCATTAGACGTTAGAATTAGACGACATACCAGATTTACAATTTTGTGTAGGTTGTGTTTTGCCAGATTGTGTTTAAGAAAAAGAAACATCATTGTCTAGTAAGAATGTCTGGAAAGGAGACTACAAATTCTGGTGAAACCGAAAATCTTTGCGTCGTTTGTTTCAAGAATGTGGACGTTTATTCCATAGGGTCCTGCGATCATGCTGTCTGTTTTGAGTGCTCCACCAGAATGAGGGTCCTCTGTAAGCAAAATGAGTGCCCCATTTGTAGACAGCTCATGCCTAAAGTAAGTTTTCAAGAAGTTACAGGAATAAAATTTTACAGTTTAGACTGACCATGTGAACATAAGTATTTGCGAGCTATTTTTAGAGAATGTTAGTGTTTCTTAAACACTTCTCCCTCTTATATAATATGTATAGAAAACACCTGCCTCAGGCACAGATTTTGCATGTTTTCTGTTTTTATTTTTTACATTAACATCGATATTTAACTTCAATAAAAAAGTAATAGGTTCAACTACTAGACATTAAGTCATTAAGAAGGAAGATAACAGATAATTTTGCCTGTTTGAGCTTATCATTAATATTAACTAATGTATTATCCATATCATTTTGTGATTACCATATTGGCATAATGTTTGTGGATGTGTTGTTATATATACACTATTTAATATGTTGCACAATATTGATATCCTTGTTGGAGTGAAAGGGAAGGAAATTGGAATTAAAGACTGACTATATACAATGCGTTCTAATAAAATGAACAATACATGATATATCAAAAAAATATTAATTTTTTTTGTTCTACCAATAGTACCTATTATAAACATAAACACAGGTATATATTTTTTAATATAATGGTTCTTTTCTAATTGGAAGAAACAATTCCATATGGTGTGGAATTGTTCTTTCTACAACTGTGTCAGACATTATCAAAGGTGATATGAGAGCAGACTTATATCAAAGAATATAGACGCATATAGAGGAATATTCTGCTGTTATTTTTAAGCATCAGCAAAGGTTGATTGCACGTTTTAAAAAAGAATGGAAGGTGGATCAAGATTTTAGTTCCTTATTAGTACCAGTAGGGAGCGGTCATGTCAGCGCTATTATTGCTTCTAAAATATGAAAGAGTGGGGCAACAAATGCAACTTTAGATATTTTTATATGTAGATGCAGCGTGGTCATAGAATATCATTAAATTGTTGCATTTTATAAAATTCCTAAAACCCTATAACGCCGAATTTTTAATGCATTCAAAAAAAAAATTTTTTTTTGTTTCTTATTACTTATTTTGCTATTATTAATTTACAGATTAAAAAAAAACAGTTTTTTTTAAATATTAGGTGTTTTTTTGAAACGTTACGAAATCGTCACAAAAGTCCTTTTTTTAGAAATAACTCATGATTTAAATTTTGAAAAGTTTTGATTTTTTGCTTAATTTTACATACATAGTAATGCACAATATCGATATAAAAGACATTATAAATTTGAAAAACATCAATTTATTATAAATTAAATACAAAAATAGAAGTTATTATGTAGTGTAGAAATGTATAAAACAGTTCTTTTCCTTTGTAATGCACAGGTGTACTTTACATTTGGTGCACATATATACTGGAGCACTTTTACAATTGATATTTTTACGCCTACTCCTATCTGTGACCATGGGCAAGTGATCAAGCCCATCTAGACGTATGTCTGCTACCGGAATACTTTTAGTGGCTGGACCTAGCTTCTTCTTTTTTGAAAATTCTGCATCTGTGCTGGTTTTTGATGGACAACCCTTTTTTGATTGTTGGGTTCTTTTCCCTTCCAATAGCAGTGCCTCTGCAATGCTCATTTTGAATTTTTGGAGATTAACTATGTTTCTTTTAGGTACCTGTAAGGATTCGCAGTCTCTTCTGTAAATGAGCCAAGAGTTTACCACAGTAACATCTAAAAAGTGAAAAAACAATTTGTGATAGAACTTTTTAGATCTAATATGAATTCTGTAAAGAGTTAATGCATCCATTAGGTCCACTCCACCCATAAATTGGTTATAGGTTTTGACAATAGCTGGACAGGTAATTGTAATATTCTGTTTAGTCTTTTTGTCATATCGCTCGCATGTTTCAGTAGGTTCTGCAGACGAAAATGTTGATAGCAAATTGACTACCCGATTATCAGCCCATTTTACTGCTCTGACTTCAATATTATCTACTAGAGTCGAGACTTCTTGGAAGGATCCTTTACCTTTTTTTAGTAAATCTTTATCCTTGTCTAGAGGAACTCCCGATAAGCGATTTATCCTTACTGTTCCAAGGCAATAAATTTTCTTTTTTGCCAAATGCACCATCAGAGCTAGAGAGGTAAACCAATTATCGAAATATAGGAGATGATTTGCACCTACAGGAATATGAGTGGCTAATTGCAGTACCACATTGGAACTAGCTCCTTAATCTGGTTCTCCAGTTACTGGTTGGATTTTTTCAGAATATATAAAAAATCATAAATAATTCCTTTCTCATCACAAAGAGCAAATAATTTGTAGCCCCATTTGTGTGGCTTGCTGGGTATATATTGTTTAATGCTAGATCTGCCTTTGAATGGTATTATCTGTTCATCAATACATAATATTTGAGGCATTGGAATTTCTCTAAATTTCGCCTGTAAATGATTTATCAATTCCTTATTTTGAATAGTTTGTCATATGTGGTATTATCTTCTGGTATTGTCGAATTATCGTTAAAATGGATTTTGGATTTTATTTCTTCCCACTGATCCCTGGTCATTACTTCCAATACAATTGGACAGTTTAACTTAGTTTTCCAATACAATCTTGAGTTGGATAGTTTTACCATGGACATTGCCAATAAGGACATTAAAAATTGTTCCAATTCAGGAATTGACAATGACAGACTTTTATTGGGATTTTCTTGAATGGCATACAAGTTTGACTGCTCAACTATGTGAGTCAGAATATCTTCCTAAAAAAAATTTCGAAAATATTCCACAGGTCGCTTTACAACTCCAGACGGCTCTAGTTGACCTAACCATATAGGAAGTGGTTTAGCAGAATCTTCAGTTGGCACATGTCGCCAAAGTGGATAGGTTTTACGACTCTTTGATTTTAATGTTTCTGGTGCAGCTGCTGTTTCTCCACTGGCTTCACTTTCTTCAGTACTATCGTCAGATTCATCTATAATAAAGAAAGAGTATAAATGAGTCATTTCAAACTATAATACAAAGAGGCAAAGCAGTCAATACAAATGACTAGAAAATTATAAAAAGAACTATAAAAATAATTACCCAAATCCTCGAAATTAATATTAGAACCATCTACAGTATCTGTACTACTCTCATCCATTAAGGGAAGACGTTTTTTGCCATAAAACGCTGCACAATCCATAATTATTTTGATCAATCTAAAAAAATCCAAAAGACGAGAGTGACGATTTCGTAACGCTTAAAATTTTCAATAAAAATACAGAAACATAATTAATTTTAGCACATATTACCTTCGCCAAACGATAATCGTTCTTCTAGCAACGTTCATATGCTGCTTGATTCCAATTTATAACAATAAACACTCCACAGTACACTATAACCTAACTTTTCATTAGTGCACTGTCAAACAGAAACATCTCACGTGAATGTGCCGCGCGAACGTAATCAAAACGGGTTTGCTATATTTTCACTGAAATGTAACGATACCGATCCCGTCGGCGTAGCCGTCCTACATGGGTTATTTTGTGCATAAGACCAGTGTTTATCAAACGTTACGAAAACGTCACGCTCAGCGTTATAGGGTTAACTTTTAATAAATGAATCTTTTTAGAAAAAAAAAGATTCAAATTTTTAATTGAAATATGTACAAATCTACAAATAATATAATTAAAACACTCTTCTTATTAACTATAAATAAAATTAATTAAAAGTCAATCACCGGAAGATAAAGCTCAAAAAATTGTAAGGTGTTTCGATCAAAAAACAATTCCTGATTTTGTTACTACACTAGAATTGCTTTTTAACACATACACCAAAGAATTATTTCTTACGATTTCAAAATTCGAAATTGTTAAGTATAATTTCGGATTTTTAAATTAAAAAATCAATAAGTAAGTCTCAAATAATGCCTCACTAGAGCTTAACAAAGGAAGAAAAGAAAAAGGCAAAAAAGGCTGCTTGGACATAGATCATAGCCAATCCTAAGAAATCCAAATTAGCAAAACCCGACGATAAAAAGAGACTTCAAGAGAATAACTCAACTAAATCAGGCTCAAGCAAATTTGATCATTAACAAACTGGAGTTCCATAAAACTTCTGCAGTTCCATAAAACATTGTTTAGGGACCCTGTGGGTGAACTGTGTTAATGAGTACAACTAAAGTGGTGAAAACTATTGCGGGCATGTGGGAGGGAGTAAGCTTAAATATGATTGTTCCAAATAATATGCCCAATCGCCCCATAGTCCTCATACTCATCCCCGAGAAAAAACTTGATGAAGAAACTATCAGGACCCGTCTAAAGAGGCAAAATCAAGACCTTAACATAGAAGACTGGTTGTGATCTCTGTTTCACAGACTGAACGACAGTAAAGATAAAGGTTATAGAAGGAGTTATAAAGGAGATAATTCTCAGATCAGCATACCTCCAGTATGATGATCCCGAACAACCATCAAGGGAGTTGGAAGAGTTAATGAGAGATTGCATGAAAAATGAACTGCAATTAATCATTGGCTATGATATGAATGCTTACTATTTGACCTGGAGCAGTAAAAATACCAAACTGTTAAAAAATGACATGCTTTAGATGATGCAGAGCTTCTCAATTTCCCACCTGTAGTACCAGAATTTTCTGTCAGGGTTTATTCTTTTAACATATGTTACTTGTACATCTTAGTTTTAATTTTTACAAAATTTATTGTACCTCTATATTAGCATTGTTTGTGTTAATAAACCTTTATTTTAGGTGGTATTTACCAAAACAGTCGAACCGTTTTCATCTTTGTTATCTAAATTCGAGCGGTCGAATCTTCAAGATCGCAGATTCGGCATACTCTTCTGTACTTCAGATGTCCAAAAAGCATATCATAGATTGTTAGAGCATCGATGCTCGTTATGTGAAGATACCGAAAGAAAATGGCCTTTTAAAACCTTCCAACAGTTGAAAGATCACATGCGAAGGGAACATGAACTGTTCTATTGCGACATTTGTACTGAAAACCTCAAAATTTTCAGCTTCGAAAAGCGCTGTTACAATCGCCAAGAGCTGGGGCTTCACAGAAGAAAAGGAGATCCGGATAATACGTCCCACAGGTAAGTAGGCCATAACTTTGAATTAAACATAACTTTAAATTGTTATTATTATGAATAAACTTAACTTAAGCGGAAGACGCCTAAGAATGCTTCGGTGTTACGTATTCACTACTCTTCTTTAACATCAAGAGGGATATATCTGACTACTTCCCTCACTCGTGACGTACCAGTATCTTGTTTTCCAGAAATGCGAGAACCGTCAAACAGCACACAATGAGGTCTCAATCTGCCTACTCCTGTGTCTAGTGAAGACCGGTCTTACCCTGTGTAGCTGCTTTTATACCCTCAGTATGCGCGGAAACGGTCTGAGCAGGATGTCGATGAAGCAGCGGTTGCCATGATGCCGGTAGTCTTTTAGCGTCATCGCGCGTGTTTAAGCTGTTACGGCGTTTTTCAATTTCGTTGACTTCATGGATAATTCTCGATTCTTTTGCTTTTTCGAAATATATTTTCTGACCGATCTGAATATGATGTTGGGCGAGGGCTGTAGCAGGATCGGAATGTTTTACAAATATAGAATATTCGGAAATACGGTTGTGGATTCTTCGGTTTGTCTGTCCTATGTAGCACACCGTGGTCTTCATTGGGGATTTGGTCCTTTTAGGAACTGATATGATTGGTCAACTTGGAGTGAGTAGTGAATATTGTTTTGATTTTTAGAGAGTAAGAGTTCTACTGATCTTGTTAGTGACACCTTTGATAAAAGGTACAAAGATTTTTGGTTGATCGGGCGGTAAAGTTTCTTTTTTGAATGGAATGGGGTTTATACGTTTTTGAATGCTCCTGTTGATTTGGGTTTTGTGGTATCCGTTTTGTAAGAGTGTTTGCCTTATTGGATCGATTTTAGACGATCTAAGATTGTCGTCGCTGTCATGGAAAGGGAAACAAGTGTGTTGATAACTGAATTGAGTTGACCGGGGTGATAATGTGACTGGGCATTGAGATAACGGTTTGTATGGGTAAGGGGTTTCCGGTACACAGGAAATACTGTGTGGTCGGTGTTACTGAATAAAAACATCAAGGAAAAGCAAAGACGCTTTAGACTCAACTTGCATCGTGAATTGAATACTGGAATGTATTCCATTCAGGTGGAAGAGGAAGAGATCTAATGTGTCTTTACCATGGGGCCAAATGACAAAGGTGTCATCAACGTACCGTACCCAACAGGTGAGTTTGAGATTTTATGAGGACAGGGCTGTTGTTTCTAAATGTTCCATGTAGATATCAGCTATTAAGGGATATAGTGGGGATCCCATTGAAATCCCCACTCTCTCCCTTATATCCCACGATAGAAATAATTTTGGAATGAAAAGTATGTATTAGACATGCAGTGTTTTATAAGAGATAATGTGTGTTCCAAAAAGGAAATTGTTTCATCAATAGGGATGTTGGTGAATAAAGAAACAATATCAAAACTAACTGGTATATCTGAGGGTGAAATAGAAATTGTTTTCAGAAGATGAATGAAATGGAAAGAAGGACGAGGCGTTTTCGGCTAATGGTTGTAAAGATAAGGCGAGAAGTTTTGCTAATTTCTCAGTGGGACAGTTGTATGCATTGAAGTTGGGTCTTAGGGGGACATTGGGCTTATGGATTTTTGACATACCGTATATTCTTGGAATTCGAGATGATTTTTCCCTAGGTATAAGAGATTTTTTAATGTCTAGAGGGTAGAGTGGACTTATTCATGATAATTTGGTCGTTTATTCTAGATAGGTGGTGGCATCGTTTGGAACACGTTTATATTCTGTGGAATTGAGTGAGAATTCCGGCTGACATTTGTCGGCCGGAAGGATGACAATATCAGGGTTGTTATAAAGCTCTTTGAGGGAACTTCTTTCTGAAATACTGATATTTGACGATGGGGTCTAGAAGTACGGAGAATTCTGGTGACATCTTGTTGGGCAACTTCGGCTTGGTCGAAAAGAAACAGCCTGTTCAGTGTGACAAATAATTTTCTCAGTTGGGAATTTAGATTATATATATATATATATATATATATTATATATATATATATATATATATATATATATATATATATGTGTCTGTGTGTGTGTGTGTGTGTGTGTGTGTGTGTGTGTGTGTGTGTGGAGTGAGAGAGAGGCGCGATACTGGGAACTTGGACGCCATTTGAAAAATTAAAAAAAATACAGAACCCCTGTAACAAATAATCTCCTCCCTAAACTCTTTAAAAACGACGACGACACACTGTTAAAACACGTGCAAGTTAATAAATAAAATATGGTATAGGATGGAAACACCTGCAGACTGGAAATTAGATATGTATTATCCTTATCAAAATGGCATACAAAGGCAACCTATGACTCAGTAGATAAACACAAGCTGTTTCAGTACGTATAGTTCCAGAAGTATAGTCAGAATCCAGAACCTCAAAGACCTTCCGCTGCAAAAACGGATTAAGACAACGTGACGGACTATCATGCCGCCTTTTTAACGTTGTACTGGCAGAGGTTATTAGTGAGTCCAAGATTAATACGAGCGGTACAATATTTAACAAATCTGTACATGTAGTTGTATACGCAGACGACAATGAAATAATTGCCAGATGCACCGCGTCCCTGAAAGAAGCTTTTCGGTCTGCACTGAAAATGGGACTAAAAATGAATACCAAAAAATGAAATATATTCGTGTCTCTAAGTCTTGTAATCAAACACCTAGACTAACAATACATATACCTTCATAAATCTAGGCTCGTTACTAATCTGATAACATGGAGACGTATCACGTGACTCCAAAAATATATGGTACCCATCCTTTAGACCTGTACAAGCTGGTAAAAGGTTCCAGAATTATGGAATGGGCGTCATGAATGAGTGGAAGATGTACAAAAAGCCAAATGACTGCAGTGAACACTTATGATAATGTATCTTTGTTATTGTCGACTGTAGCAACGGTGTCAGGACTCTAGTGATATACATTTTGCTGAGAAATCAAGGTTTAGATCACATTTGGTTCTATAAAAAATGCTTACCGGACATTTCCCCGAGTAAGTGTATTGTACATTGCATGCTCCTCACGCTCATAGATACATTTTCTTTTTTTGATTTAGGGGGCACCCATTATGTGAATTTTGCGACGAGAGGTTCATGGACAGCGAGGAATTGTTCAGACATCTTCGACGGATCCATTTATTCTGTCATTTTTGCGATGCTGATGGTAAACATCAGTTTTACAACAACATGGATGATCTAGTACGTCATTTTAGAGAAGAACACTATCTTTGCGAAGAGGGAGAGTGTAAAGGAATGCCCCTCACAGCTGTTTTTAGAACAGATATTGATTGTAAAGGTAATGTAATATCTTTTGGAAAATATTTTATGATAGAAAATTTTAAACAATGGCATTATTTGAATTATGATAATAAATTTTCTATTCTGAATACTTAAAATCTTGATTTTCCAGCTCACAAGGCTACGGAACATAGTAGATTCATGAGTAAATCTGGAGCTAAACAGGCAAGAACTCTAGAATTAGAATTTACATTAACACCGAGACCTAGACCCGGCCAGGAAACGAGAATTAAGAAATATAACGATAGGAGCCATAGGTTAGTAAACACAAATAACTTTTTTCGTTTTCTGTACATCTTCTGTGTTCTCACTTTATTTATTTTTAAGGCTACAAGAAGGTTCTTCTGTAAACACGTATAACATGGAACCTGGTGGACCAGGCGGAGGCGCGGAAGAAGAACGGGGAAGAGTATTCGTTAACCCTTTAACACCGAACGATTTTCCTGCCTTGGGTGGTGGTTCAAGCAATGTCACTCTACAGGCGAGACCTGCATCTGTGAATTTCACATCAAAAGTTAACTCAAACTTCACAAACGAAGATTTTCCTACATTAGGAGGTGGGTATTTGTTGCAACTGCCTCAAAATTATATATTTTCATTGTTAGTATAATTTTTTGCTGTCAAGAGTAATGATTCAACTAAAATTACCACATACGAAACAAAAAGTATTTATAATTCAGAAATAATTGTCTTCATATATTTGTTATATATCTATTAATTTCTGTATACAGATTTTGAAAAAATTTTACATAGGATTTTTAATACAAATAAATCCCCTGATTTGCAATTGACCAGTATAAATTTCAATACAATGTCGCGATGTTTTATAATTAATTCACTTGTTTGAGTAGAGTCCCTCTCCAGTCGATGCCAGAGAACTACGAACGCAGAGAAGCGACACTCCTTTGATCTTGCGTGGGCAAGCCGCCAATGAGTGAAAATGACAGGAAAGCAACCAGCTAACTAATAGTCAGTGGGCATATCACACAATATAAGTTCTTAAATACAATTGAGCATTTATGTTGACTTTCAATAAATATGAAATATTGCACTGAAAAAATAATTACGTGAAGGGCCGGCTTTTGTTGACATTCTAAATGGTGTAATTATTTTTGATTTACAAAAGGTTGCAAATACATCGCACAACGCAAAGTAATAATGAAAATCCTATTGATGGAACCATAGATGGAAATACTTTTTTGTTTATTCTGATATTGGCATTGATAATACAATAATACACCGATTCTTTTTGGCTTGTGTTGATACAAGATATAATTTGTTCGTCGTGGAATTTCCTAATAAATTATCTTTCGTAATATAATCGAAAAATAACAAAGTCATTGTAACTGCCACGGAAATTTCACAAACTCTAAAAATTCCAATTCTCTTTGGGTGAGTCTGAGAAACAAGAAACTTTATAATGATATCGATTGTTAATGTTTTGGAAACCTATTAAAATTACATTTTTCCTTTAAAGTCGAATATTGGAGTAAACGATATTCGACTAAAACGAATAAAAAATCAAGAAGTAACTATTGTACGAGTATATTTCTATAAATATAAAAACGTAATAACCTAAAAAATAATCAAAAAAGTATTACGAATCATTACAAGAAAGCATTAGGAATTAGTCTTATTTGACAATATGATTATCTTCAAAATGTAGTTCACAAATCCTATAACTATTATAAAGTATATCCATTTTTAACAATAAATCTTTTTCAATCAATAAATCAAATTTTGGCACTACAAATTTTTAACAGAACAAATTTTAAACAAAGAACTTTTTGTATTTATAAATAATACTTCATTACTTACAACTATAAGAGTATTAGTATATTCTAAGTATATTGTAAGTAATTAAGTATTTAACTTTTGTCAATATCTCATCTTAATAAATTTACAGTTTTCTCCTGATTAAGTCACAAAATTGTCACTAAATATTGAGATACACAACAAATAAAGTTTTAATATTTTTTATTTGTAATTCCCATTTAAATATTTATTCCCTAAATATGTTGTGTACTCCGATCCATATATTTGATCTTATTTATTTTTAACGAATTAAACATTGACCGACAACTTTTGTATATAGCAAAAAGTAGATGAGTATTTAGTTTTTTCATAATTTAATGTAAGTTTGTTTATTTGCAACCATGTTTTTATTTTGAAGTCTTGTTCTGTTGTAATTTTAAGATTTTCCCAATTATCGGTCTAATTATGTTTCCAACAATTTTTAGTTTGAGCATTTTAGGAATTTCTTTGTTTCGTTTAAATCAAATATTCTCGTGTATAAAACCCTCTATTTATTTTTATTTCCTAAAAATACTATATTCGTATTGTTGTCTGCGAGCACTTTCACACCAGTAGGCTAACATCTGTTGATTTTTTGACCTGAGCCTTCGGAGACAATAAATTTAATGTTTTTATTTTGAACTATCCCTTGGCAGACCAAAGTTTATTTTTTTATTGCTCCACTTAACGAGAGCTCGGACGGACACGTCGGCGTCGGCTTACTGATCGAAAGTCAAATTAATACTATTATGTAATAACTAATAATAATTACAAAGCAATAGTAATTACCTGTTATTATTCTTAGGAAATCTAAATAAACTTATTCCTTTTCCTGTCACAGATGAACATCCGCGAAACGCACAACAATAACCAGAAGACATTTTAAATACTTATAAATTAAACTTTTAACTATAACTATAAACTATAAACTTTTAACTACTAAGTAAATTAGATAAATGGTCAAATGCACTTATATAGTCGAGTATTTACCACAGGTGCCTACGGACTATCGTAAACAACCAGAGTTAAAGAAAACGCACGTGTTTTTGACAGTAAAGCAACCAGGTTCGGGCATGCGTATACAGAAACGGTACACGGATTTCGGGGCTCGTGTCGCTTCTCTGTGTTCCATGATAATATGACTAACAAGCATCGAGTTAGAATCTATGGAGAAGCTATGAGCATATTAACGTATGTATTAAAAACGGCGTAGGTAGGTGTGGCTAACGATAATACCAATATGGCAGTGGGATCATGGCCGGACTCAATAATATTAAAACTACTATAAAAATATGGCTAGTTATTTAGAAGATTTAATCGTAATCTAAAAAGTGCAATACATTTTTAATAAACTATGATTTATTTATCCCGCGGTAAACACTAAAAACACGATATATTATTTATACATAACGATAAATTAATACAGTCAAATACTATTAATTTATTCTCTGAAGTACGGGCCATTACTTTGTTTACATATTTAATACATAATTTATACTAACCTGTACAACGATATTCCTGAAGATTTTTTATTAGAATTGCTTCTGCTACTGCAACTACATTGAGAACAAGAAACTATTATTATGCACTATCACAATATATTATTACAGTTTCTATAAAAGTATTATAAAACTTAAAATATTCGAAAAAAAACTAACGTAAATAAACTTATACGATCTGTCAAAAGTGTCAAAACAATATTAACAATAGTATTAACAATATGGCCGAAGTGAGGCCGTTTTTAGTCACGTGATGCCCTCTCTATAGATTCTAACTCGATGCTAACAAGATAGGATCTTCCCATAGCACAAAATAGGTCGTGTTCGCGCATGCCGTCATTGGAGAGTAGAATTTGAATTCTTGTTAAAGTTAAATGGGATTTGTATGCATTCTGTAATGAAATTACTAGACGAAAATAAGTTAAGAGGTTTAATAATTACAATAATCGTACACATAAGGATATCTCCAAACTATTTATTAAAGATTATTTATTGATACATTGTAGCGTTTTTTTATTTTATTGTGTATATAAAAGATTTCTGTGTTACGCTCCTGTTGTTTTTACCAAAGAAAACAATCGAAATAATATTTCAAGTTTTTTTGACGAGATTTTTAAATGCGTATTAACGCTGGAAATATGTTTTTATCTCTGTGTTGCAATGTTAGGTAAAATAACAAGTTTTTTGTCGCCAAAGAGGTATTATGTTAAAACGCAATAAACCATGAATTCCCCTAATATTATAGTTGTTTTTCGTTATTAGACGAGGGTCAAAAAAAAAAGAATATTTGTTTGATTAGGCAATAAAGGAACATTTAAAAGTTGTTTCTTTTGTCGATAAGAGGAGGTAAGATATTGTTTTGGTTCTTGAGTTTGTGGGGACAGGTTAGCTGCAAGACGGAAGGGAAATTTTTGGCTAGATTCTGGTAAAATGTAACGAAGAAAAAGAGTCGAGATTTGAGTTCCAAACGGGCAGACATGTGACAATTGAGTCAAAGATTTGAAACGGAGTCGAGATTTAAGTTTCAAACAGAGCAGACATGTGACAATAAGTCGACGATTAGATTTGAAGCAGAGCAGACGTGCTACAATGTGAGTCCAAGAACCTATTTGAAATGGTGGTAGACGCTTTTTGCGGATGTGAAATGTTGGGCCATTTTTGAATCAAAGAGGATTCAATTTTTTTTGAAATGTCTTAGGACCGGTCAATGATAATACTATCAGATTTGAATAAATACCGGAAGCTTCTAAGAAGTATGATACAGGATGTCCCCGTAGTCGGCTTATTTCTTCCACTAAGTTCCTGTTCCAATCGTTTTGTCCTGGAGTTTAGAACTAGTTCCTGATGGTTGCTGCCTTCCAGTTTTGAAAGTTTTGTCCGAGTAGTTTCCCCAGAGATGTAAAGTTTCAAAGTGTTTGTATAAAAAAAACATTAAGGTAACAATTCAATATAATAATTTTTCAAAGTAAAGACAGATAGTTTTTGGCTAAAGTAATAATTGCTTTCATTCTTTGTCATCAAAATTAAATGTGATACCTGACAGCAAGCTTAATTTGTTTTTTTTGTTATGACAATTTTAATTTGATTATTATGTAGAAACGATATTTCATATATAAGGTTAAATTTATATGTTTTCATTAAGAAGGATCCTTAATTTTTGATAATCTAATTGGCCATAATATAGTAAACAAAAAACATGTAAGTTTTTGTTATTTGTATTATGTTATATGATATGTTTCTTTTATAATATGTATTTTTGATCTGTTTTGTTTGGTGAGACAAAAATAAATGTTTAATTTGTTTCTCTGATCTATTTTGAGTTTTATTTGAAAAAGATACTTTTTTCTATATTTTTGATGTTATACAATTATTTCCCTAGTTACAACTAGTGGTTGTAATAGGTATAATTGGGCACCTCAAGTGGCGCCCTATATTAAATTTCTTGAGGTGTTTCGTTTATTTTCATTCTGTTTGTCCCAAGAGATTTGTATAAGTACCCCTTTATTTTTTTTTGTAGTTGCCCCAATCTAACCCCCAATATCTTCAACTTATCCACGACCCAGCTCTCCAACAACCAACTGAGTGTCGTATGCACTTGTTTCGATTATTTTGTTTGCCCAATCTTGTCCCCCATATTCTTACCCTGTGGTAAGCAAAATAGTCGTTACAGCATACAAAAAACTGACATTTCGAACGTCAAACTCTCCAATGACGTCACGACTTATGTGCAATATCTTATCTTCTTGTCTTAGTATCATGCTGTGTTCGTAGTTCTCTGCTACCGCGCCATCGCAAACGATCATCGTCAAGTCGATCCATGCCGCCGCCGCCAGTGCAAGTGTAAAAACGAAACACAGTTAGAGTGCACGTCTCTGTAAAATTCTAAAAATAAAAATAAAAAGGAATTTCAAAAATAAAATAATAATATACCCTTTTTAATTTGAAATTATAAAAAATATTTGGAATAATAATTGTATTTAAGTATAAATTTAATAATTCAAATAATACCCAATGAACACAAACAAAATTGATGTTATTATTATCTGCACAAAACCGGACCGGAAGGAATTCAGGAAAATCGGAAGACGGTAGACGGAACGACACTGTCGGCGTATCACATATGCTACTACAAACCGCAGACACAGAATAATAAACAAACAGAATACCCACTCTCCACGGAAAATTAAGTACGCGCATCTCCTCCGCGCAGACGTTCCGCCATGTTTTAGGAGGATTTTAAAGAAATTAGTGTTGTTTATGTGGTGTGCATGGAAAAATTAACCAGGTTTATTTGACTTCCGGCAATCATAGACATACTATACAATTATATTAACATTGTTAAATATAATAACATAAATATAATATAATTAAACATAAATATAAACAATTACATAACCACACAAATCATATGTCTGTGTCCTCCTAAAACATGGCGCGCGTGCTGAAAAACTTCAAAGGCGGCATCTGAGAGTGGCCCTTCTGATTGTTTATTATTCTGTGCCGCAGACGAGAGGCAATCAAGTGGAACAAATAAATTAGTTATACAACATCGGTACGTTATATTGAAATTTACGTTGGTTAATTGCAAATCAGAGAATCTGAGTTATTATATTAAAAATCCTATGTTCCTTAAAAAGTCCTGCGATTTTTTTAACAAACTTTAATTGAAGTTTTTTCAAATGCTTGTAAAATGTAGTACGTTTGAAATCAGGTAGATTGGCGTCGTCGTTGACCTGTTGCAGAAGTCTATCGATCGTAGGTATTTCATCTCTAAAAAAGAAATTAATGCGCTATTATTCTTATACAGAGTGGCATAAAAGTCTGGAAACGGCTAATTCTCTCGTAAAATGCTAATAATAATTGTACAAAATTTGAGGTACACCTGTTTTGGGATACGGAGATTCCATATTTGATATTTACAATGTTGCCAGATTTGCCGTTTTTCTTATATTATTAGTAACTTTGGTTTTTCAAATACATCACCCTGTATATTCAGTCATTATTGGAATCTCCTATTCAATACGAGTTCAACCATATATAACACTTATGATTTTATGTAATCTGGAAGGTCATAAATACATAAAAACCGAAGTCTGGCAACGCCTAAATTGTTTGAATAAATTTTTTAATACTAACTATTTTCAAATACATTATAACGTAACAATTGATAGTTTAGAACATTTTTAACATAGTAGTTACGTTATTAAGTGTTCAATATGTACTCAATTTGTGAGTTGACAGCACCCTGATCGATGGTAGAAGGCGTCTACCACATTTCTCCATGATTGTCTAGAAATTATTCGAGATTCATTGATAATTCGTTGCCTTACTCTGCAAGACTGGCTGGTTAAGTTTTGTAAACTGAATTTTTTAAGTATCCCTAATAAAAATAATCTTTAGGATTGAAATCGGGTGAACGTGGAGGCCATTCAATTCTACCTTGTCTACCAATTTATCGTCCAGGAAATATCTTATCTAAATATCGCCGAACATTTACACCAACTATCTGACGTTAAATTTCTTTCGACAAAAAATGACCCAATTGAAAAAGTAACTACTAGATCTGACCATACATTTAATTTTTGTGGTCTTTGTGTATGGTTTTCACGAATTCAGTCTTCAGTGTGAATTTACGTCACACCAATACCTTAAATTGTGTCGATTTACACTTCCACATAGTGTAAAAGTTGCTTCATCGGAAAAACATATTCTGTTAACGAAATTTTAATAATTTTCAATTTTATCCAACATTAGCTCAGTAAACTCTAATCTACGACCAAAGTCATCTTCACTTAATTCTTGCAATATGTTAATTTTGTATGATTTAAATTTATTTTTACGTAATAAACGAAAGACTGAAGAATGACCTACATCATGTACTTGTGCAACCCTGCCTGGGGATGTATGTGGATCTTCAACAAATCTTTGCTTATATCTGAAGTTTTATTGTCATTGATAACTCGTTTTGGCCAACCTGATCGGTATCTATCTTTTACTTCTCCAGATTCCTCAAATCGCGTTACAGTTTTTTGTACCGTTGTCTTATGAATAGGAGAACGGTTTAGAGAACGGCATTTTAGAGAAGCAATTTAAATTGCAGAACTCCTTGAACCACAACTACTGTCAATTTTAGTTCATAATTTAAATGGTGAACAAATGTCAAAATCACAGCATTCTCCATTTAAATATTAAAATTTATTAAAATCTACATATTTTGCACTGTTTTATGTATTTAAGATCTTTCAGACTACATAAAATCAAGAGAACATATGGTTGAACTCGTATTGAAAAGCTGAACTCCTGTGAAATTCACACTGAATGCGTAAAAACCATACTCAAAGACAAGTACAACCACAAAAATTAAATGTATGGTCAGTTGAGATATTTCCCGGACGATAAATTGGTAGACAAGGTAGAATTGAATGGCCTTCACGTTCACCCGATCTCAATCCTAAAGATTATTTTTATTAGAGATACTTGAAAAATTCAGTTAACAAAACTTAACCAGCAAGTCTTGCATAGCTAAGGCAATGAATTATCGATGAATCTCGAATAATTTCTAGACAATCATGGAGAAATGTGGTAGACGCATTTTACCATCGATTAGAGTGCTGGTACTGGACTCACAAATGGAGCACATTTTGAACACTTAATAACGTAACTATTATGTTAAAAAATATTCTAAACTATCAATTGTTACGTTTTAATAGTGGTGGGCCAACCTGCGATTTTTGTGTAGCTGTGACAAAATGTGACTGCTCCAGTATTGTCACGGTGACAAAAAGCAGTGATTTTTTGGAGCAGTTTAATCTTAACTGCTACCCTGCTACTATTGCTACCTTTGAATATTCCAAAATATATTTTATTTTATCTTATTTATAAGCAAAAGACATGCTTGTTGTTTTCTGTATTTTTGTTTATTATACAGGTTTGTATTATAAAAGTGTTGTATGTAGTCAGTAGGTTTTTTATCGTTATTAGTTTCTGTATTTTTATGTTAAAACAAAACTTTATTTATAATTATATGTTATACTTTACTTTATTATAAACCTTAACTATAAAATATTATTATAGACTTTATTACTATATTACTTTATTAAAAAAAAATTATTTTAGGCAATATTTTTTGTACTGCTTTGATTTTTGTACCACTGTTTTATTCTTATCTTTGGTTATTGTGATTTTCCTTAAAAAGTTTAAGAAATACGTAGATATATTGATTTTATTTTATTCAATTCATATGTTTTTTACCTTATGATAATTTAATATGACTAGGAAAATAACTTGTTAAGGATTTTTAACGGTGCTATTTTCCCACGCTCGACCACGTCGTTCCTTATGTTACAAATAGCAAATAATAGTCACAGTCACCATATGAGAGCGACTGCTCCATTTTGAAAATGCTCCGTCAACAAGGCTTGTCACTGTCGCAAATACGATCTATGGACCAGCGCAACGTCTTGTGTAGCGTACACCGGACCGAAGTGGTGCAGTCACAGTAGAATAAACCGTGACTGAATGTCACTGCTATATTATTCCAGCTGTAGCGGACTGTGACTGTGACAGCGTTGTAGCAGTGACAAAGTAGCAGTTCGTGAAATCGCAACCTACCACTATGTTTTAATGTATTTGAAAATAGTTAGTATTAAAAAATGTATTGAAACAATTTAGGCGTTGCCAGACTTCTGTTTTATGTATTTAAGACCTTCCAGACTACATAAAATTATAAGTGTTATATATGGTTGAACTCGTATTGAATAGGAGATTCCAATAATGACTGAATATACAGGGTGATGCATTTGAAAAACCAAAGTTACTAGTAATATAAGAGAAACTGAAAATCTGGCAACATTGCAAATACCAAATATGGAATCTCCGTATCTCAAATTTTGTATAATTGTGTCTAGTAATTTACGAGATAATTAGCCGTTTCCAGACTTTTGGGCCCCTCTGTATTATTCTTGTCAAAATCATCTACAGCTTCGAATGTGCCTTTATAAGTAGTACGTCTCTTTGTTGCAACTAATGTGTGTTCAAGAGCGGACAATTGTATCGTTGAATTTTCTAATAACTCGTGCTTTACACGTTCACAATGATTATATCTTTACTCTCTACGCTTAAATGGCCTTTTTTCGATCTCTTTTGGGGGGCTTGAAAGTATGTTGATGAGTTCATTGGCAGAATCCGACATGTTAAATTGGTTTTAGTGACTGTGTATACCGACTTGTAAAGTATCATTTATAAGCTATTATTCTAATAATAGAGTCAAAATAATATTTAATTTATTTACTAAAATTAATAAAAAAAAACAATAAACACGTTAAAAATATTCACAATTCTACGTTTAATTAAATAACACTATAATTAACAACACACAAGTACCTACAGCTAGAAAGAAATATTTACATAATTAAATTCCCTTTTAACACGAAAATACATACAAATTAAACACCATAAATCTGATTCGAATCGAATACAACGATTCTGGATACACATCTGTTAAAACTGTAGATTATGGGTTTTTACTTAAAGGTGTTGATTGTGGTTACTTGTGAGTACCTACTTGGTACTTTTGTTAGGTACGTTTTTGTATATAAATCAGTTACAGTATTCATGATTTTGTAACAAATAGCACAGTTTTCTTCAGCATCTCTAGAGAGTGTTAATGAATAATTGATCGCGCATTCCTTGTGTTGGCAAGCTATATTTCTTTTAAGTGAATATACTTTAGTAGATATTGTTTTTAGCTGTCCAGCCTAGTAACACGGGTACAAAATCATCAACATCAGGGGTCACCATCACGACAAATTCTTCTGTTAGAAATAGCAGAGCTCCGGAAGTGACAATAAGAACAGTGCGAGGACAAAAAGGCCTGGCGAATACATTGGAGAATTTTCCGGCTTTGGGTGGTGCTGGCGGCAATTCTGGCGCTAGTAGTACAGTTAGATTGAGCGTAAAGTAAGTGTTGGTCATATATACTTTTGTTTTTATTATCTTTTAATTTATTATTAAAATGTTCTAGTTCCAACACTTAGTTTATTTAGTCTTTATTTGCACTTATTTTAATTTATTTATACTATCACTATTTACACTAAAAAACACGATTTATATAATACAATTTATATTCCCGACTTAAAACCGTACAGACAATATCAATTTATTATTCCGTCTGAGTCAACGATTTTAATTAAGTGTTTATATACATATTTTGTGGACCGGTCCTACTTCTCAATACCACTAGATCATTCTGCAGACATTTTGACGACATCGTTTTACCGCTAGAACCTACCAGAATTCATGCTAGAGACCAAATTGAGAAATATCACGTATAGAAGTCACCCAGCTAATGTAGTCAGAAAGACAAAGACACTTTGTAGACAAAGAGTCACCTATCAAAATTGAAACCACTAAAACTTAGTAAGATCAACGTAGATGACTTAAATATTGCACAACGCAAATTGGACCAATATTCAGAACAACTGGACCATATTATGAGCCAATCATTTATTGAGGAACATCTACCCGTATTCACTATATCAACCTTATCCCTGATTATTATCCTAGTTATATTATACCTTTTCTGCAAATACCGAACCAAAATATTCCCAAAAATTGCAATCTCCTTGTCTTAGGATCAGCCTCCAACTTTATTATCACGCAGAAATTCCATTAGACAGAAACTTCAAAGCTTAACCTCCTTCAGAAGAAGACCCAATATCCAACAAGAAAGCGAAGCAGAAACACCAATTACTCTGTAAAAGTCAAAGCAATGGCATTGACTTTTCACTAATAAGGGGAGCTGTTATATGAGAAAATATTAACCTTGAACTAGTTTAAGATCGCCGACTTCAGATTTCATCATCCCATTTCTATAGAATCCGCTGAGCACGCAATAGAACTTTGTACGAACCGTTGGCCAATATTCATGGGAACAGCCATTCAGCACTTCATATCAAACTTATAAATTACCATTTTCAGATGCCGGAACCACTCTTAGTTGCAACTTCGACCAGTCCAGTTATTGTAGTCATTTTAAATTAATTTAATTTTGTACTATTATTTAATATTTAATTTGTAACAAATCAAGTTCTTTTTTAAAAAGTCAAATACGTGATTAGTGATCTAACATATATATATATATATATATATATATATATATATATATATATATATATATATATATATATATATATGTTGTGATTTGCTTATAATTGTAGATCTACTTATATAGTCTGAAATGTATTAAACTTATCTTTATCAAACAAATCAAAAGCAAAGAGGAATATCTCAGCGCTGAAAATAATTTTTATCTTTTTTTTAATTAAAACGTGGCTTCAAAGTATCTTCTGCTAGTTCCATTTAAGAAAGATCAACAAAGAAAAAGAAATAATAGACAATCAATTCTGATATTAAAACAATTGTCCTTTATTTTAAAATATATCCAATTAATTTAAAATTCCGTTGAGGATAAATCTTACACCATACTCTATAAATAGAATAAAAAAAAAATCAATTATCCATCAAATCACACATCCCTTAATGCTTAATAAAAATTAAATACACATATTTCTAAATCAAATATAAAAACTCAAAACTTTGGTTTTCAAACAGACTATCTTCCCTTGATTCTGCTTGGATTGTACCCTGATCAGATCGCAATGTACTTCCCGGATCCTACTAACTTCCCTGCTCGCTATTCCGCCTACTGTTTCTTTTGATAATAAAAGAAAAAAGACAAACAGTATGTGAAAATGTCGTGATGTAGCTCCAAACTCCAAGACAAACAAACTGCTTCCTCTCAGACACAACGAAAATATATCCGTTTGTACTTACAGGAATGCCTCTATTTCTACTGGAACTCGTCTCTCTTCTCCGTATGCGCGGAAACGGTATGCGATGACGTGCTAGAATATCTATCATCGCAAACCGACAACTATCATCGTTTTACCGGCCAGACCGGTTCGGTAAATACCGGCGTATTCTCGAATACCGATAACACCTTTTATATTATCGGGATCGTTCTTTACTTATTTTTCTGCATAGATATTCATATTACTTACTAATTTTAATTTTTTTTTGTTTTTTTTAGCAATGCCCAAGATTCTAGTACACCGAAAGTATCCATTCAAGTGAATCACCGCCCCAACGGCAGCATAACCACTCATATTACCACAAGTGCCTCATCTTCGTTGCAACAACGCTCCTCCGAAGCTTTCCCGGCACTCGGAGCCGTGACTACCATGGTTCAGCCCAAGTGGGTACCCGCAAAGCAAAAGAAAGAACCGAAGACTACAAAAGTGGCGCCAGCACCTCAATTACCTCCGAGCTCGCTGGAGCAGTTTCCGACTCTCAATAAGAAGAAGAATTCTGTATCTATTCCTGTATCCAGCAACTGGGTTAACCTCAATAATATTGTTAGTGCAAATTCTAAAAATAATTCTAGTAATAATAATTCAAAGACTTGTAGCGATAACTCAAAAAATAGTGGTGATACTAGTAGTAAGAAGGTCGATAGTAGGCCAACCAGTTCGAGGCCAAAAAGTCATGTCGAGTGCAAGCTGAATGACTTGAAAATCAGCGACGACTCGAAAAATAAAAACAAGAAGAAGAAAGGCAAGTTGACTGAGGTAGAGACCAACAAAGTTGAAGAAACTAACAACATCAATAATAATGACGAGCCTAACATGAACGGTTTGATTAAAAAACGTTCGGAACTTAAAATCGGAACTTTAACAACACCAACAGAGTCCTCTGTAATAATTAACCGTGTAGAGAATACTAAACCTCCTCCAGGCTTTTCTGTGAAACCCCCTCCAGGTTTAAACCCCTCTTCTTTTCCCGCTCTAGGAGCTAGCGACTTCACCTTTACCTCTAGTAGTGGCCAAAGCTACTCCATAATGCCTGTTAATAGCTACATACAACCGGCTAATTTCCAAACCAGAAACCAAGACCTTATAAAACGTTTCATGAATATTTTGGATAACGATAGCATCAAGGAATTCAAAACCTACTCAGATTTATTCAGAAACGGAGCGTATCCTACTAACAAATATTATGAACATTGCAAAGAAGTTCTTAGAGATCAGTTTGACGACGTATTTCCCGAATTGTTGGTCCTCCTACCGGACTTGGAGAAACAACAAGAACTGTATAAGGCGTACGATGGTAAAAGCAAAAAGCATCTGCTAGTTTGTGAGAACTGCAAGCAAGTTATTTTCAAGAGGGAGTTGACGGAACATTATAACAGTCATATTTTAGAAAATCAGTTTCCTACTTTAGGAAAAGCTCAACAAATAAACAATCTTTGGAGAAAGTAAGAATTTTTTAACAGAATTTTTATTTTGTTGAAAAACGTATTTGCAGAAAAGAATGTTGGTTTTCTTGTCCTTTAGTCAAAACTAAGACATCCACTGGCGAAGAAGGTAATTGGAATTTATAAATCCATTTTTTATCCCAGCATTTTATAATTTAGTTTATGTTTTTCTTGATTATTTGTTGTGTCGGTAAAATTGGATATAGTATCTAAAAGTTTATTCGACTGTTTTACTGCATTCTTGAGGACATTTTCTTTTTCTTTCAGTCTTTATTGCTCATTTTCATTAAAACTTTTATTTTTTTCACGCCTTGTAGTAAGTTTCAAATTATATTTGGTATTGCCATCTTTACTTTAAATTTATAAATAACTCTTTCTCCAAAAATCGGAGCTAACGGATCAGTTCGAATTGGGTTTTTTTCTTTTATTTTGTTCTGAGGACTTAAAGTCCTTTTGTTATAACAATGGCTTGGTTTTTTTCTTACTGCTATATTTTTCATACAATATGCTTTGGTTGTATATACCACATAATTGCAATCGTATCAATAAATGTTACAGAGCTTTTCTTATCAAAAATCCTAGAATTAAATCCCAAATCATCTGAACGTATTGTAAAAAATTTCAAAAAAATATCCTACTTCCGGGCAAATTTCTGTAAGTGTAAATAAAATTGGAACTGATCGTGAGTGAAGATCTAAGGAAATTAGATGGATTTATATTTTACCTCCAATAGCGAAAACCACAATTTAATAAAAAATCTAGATCACAGTGAACAAACTTGAGATATATGAAAAAGTTTTTTTTTGCAACAAAGAAGTAAAAGCAACTGAATTTATTTCAATATAAACATATAACTTTATTTATATGTTGAAAAGTTGAGGGTAGGTTTAAACAGCAAATGCAAAGGAAAATATATTCTTAAACCAAAAATCATTTAGAATAGATCATTTAAACATAAGAGCTAAAATTTTGACGTTAAAATGTTTTATTAAAACTATTTCTTTATTGATTCTTTTTTATTCTATTGTTCTGTTTTTCAATATTTATTTTAATTAAAAATATGAATTACATCTTTTATTTATTTATTTATTTGCATAGTGACGATAAATTATGAGAGACGAGGAGCAAAAATATGTGGTTTTTACAGTAAGCCAAGAAGAAATAATATTAATAAATTATGTACATAATGTTGTAGCTGTTGACTTTTATAACAATATGTTAAGTATTTTTTGAATAAAAATAAATGATTATGATCATTGAGGTTCTCAAACTGTTTTCTTGTGGCATATCCAAGTTAAATACTATATTTATATGGGATTAAGCCAAAATTGGTTGTAATTAAAGTTACATTTTATATTTGTTTTTGACGTTTCTACTTCACTCCGAAAAATGTTTTAAAAGTTAATTGGAATAAGATTATACAATAAATTGATGGGTAGAAATAGACTCACTTTGCCTCGATCTTGCAAGCAGATATCCATAGTTCAAGCTGTTTTACCTTGGGGATTCCAAGTCCAGAAACTTCCAATCTAAAAACAATCCATTTTGGCTTAATCCCATTTAAATATAGTATTTAAATTATGATAATTGTTTTGCTCTGTATACGTATACCGTTGGCACATTTACTGTATATCAGAACACATACTATAGTACAAAAGATTAATCAGACAGATTGATACATTATAAATGGAGCTCCTAACCATAGACGTATACAATTATAGAATAAACTTTGAAAATAAGGCTATTATCGAGCACAAGTTAATTAAATCTAGCCCAAGTACTTTCGCTTAAAATAGCATCTTCAGGGGCATTTCGTCAAAATAAGAACTATCCGGCAAGCGTAGGATGTGGAAACATTAAAACTAACATAAATTATACAAAACACTACACTAAAACGAGGACAAACAGTTTAAAATTACTTCTACGCTACATTCTCTGTCAGTTTCTGGTTCTGATTATCCCTCCAGAAACTGACAGAGAATGTAGCGTAGAAGTAATTTTAAACTGTTTGTCCTCGTTTTAGTGTAGTGTTTTCTATAATTTATGTTAGTTTTAATGTTTCCACATCCTACGCTTGCCGGATAATTCTTATTTTGACGAAATGCCCCTGAAGATGCTATTTTAAGCGAAAGTACTTGGGCTAGATTTAATTAACTTGTGCTCGATAATAGCCTTATTTTCAAAGTTCATTTATTCGAGCATTCAACCTCATTTCATTTAATTATAGAATAGACTGAGCATGTCTGCAGTTTATAATGTCAACAAGATCTCTCAACTAATTACCTCTACCTGGATATTTTATTTTACCCTCTCTCTCTCTCTCACACGTCTTGATGTCAAGATTTATATGTATATGCGTATAACCCATATATATATATATATATATATATATATATATATATATATATATATATATATATATAAAATAAAATTTATATATCTTCTTCTTCATGTACCATGTCCTTTCAGAACGTTGGTTACCATCATAGCTATTTTAATTTTATTCACTGCCACCCTAAAATTTATATATACTTCATCTAATTTACATACCATTGCACGTCATTATCTACGTCAAATATCAAAGTTGACATAGTTGCCAAAGTGTAAAAAAATCCTGAATCCATTTTAAATCAAATAGGTCACATAATTATTGCAAAAGTACTGCCATCTCTTTACAACGACTATTTAAATTCTCATGTGACATTTTTGAAATAAAACACACTAATTTTGTTCTAAAAAGAACAGATTTTATCATGGACGTATAAACATAGATGGACACAGCAATAAGATACCTGTAACACACAATGTTTTGAAGCTTCGATAGAATGTGATGCTTCCGCGATGAGCATAAGCGTGCTTGAATTTTTACTCGTAGGTTATTATTCAGATTTTAAAAATTGGAAGTAGTAATAATGTATAAAAACACGTTCAAAGAATTAAAAAAAAACGAGAGTTTAACTATTAACAAATCACGTCTTTATAGAAAAATTAAAATACAATTTTATTTGCTTTAAAATTAATACAATTAAATATAGTTGAATTCAAGTTAATTCATTAATAGTATCAAAATAATGCTACAATAAAAAATCTTTGTTTTCTCCTTAATTTGCTACCCAAATAGTTTGATCGTCAATATTATTTGGAAACCTACATAGAAAAATAAATGAGTTTTATTCATTTCACTAATTTATTTGTATCCATGAGAAATATTAAATTAAAAAGGTACTAAACAGATCTTTTTTAATCAGATGACGTCTACTTACAATTTAAAAATGTCTACTAATTTTATGAACTCATATCTTATTCAATACATTAATGAACATGAATAAACCCAATGGTACGCCTATTAAAATGTAAACAAACACGCTTTCTCATTTCCTCATCTTAAATAATGTAAATTGTATGTACTTACAAATGAAATGAGAGATCGGGATGTAAATATTTCGTTTATTTTATTTCACTTTTCACAAATATCACTCAAAATACAGCCAAAATATCGAAAAATAACTTTTTCCTCATTTACTCTAAAAAGTAAACAAACATGGAACAGCATTTGAAGTTTGACGTAGATCCATAAGACAGAGAAATGTAAACAACCGTTGCCATTTATAAATAGTTTTCAGTGCTTCTACATATAAAATAATTGATTGATATCTATTATACGCTTTTATTACATGATAATGCACACTATGTGCACACTTGATATTTTGATTACAATTTAATATATTAATATAACCAATAAATTATTATTTTGGTTTGATAGCACCTGTAGAGTATAAAATGCGGAGTAATATTTTCAGCGACTCGCGAATAAGAAATTTTAAAACAAAACGTGACAACAGTTGAAGGTGCTGAGAATGTGACCTATTCAAATAATTTTGACTTCACAATTTTATGTAAATAACTGAGTCCATCTATGTTTATACGTCCATGGATTTTATTAAATAGATAAAAATATAAAACAAGAAGTATTCACTTTAAAATTCAAAATAATAAAGTACAAAAAGTGTCAACACCGCAACTGTCAAATAAGTGTTACCAATTTATGCCAAAATATCACCTTCGTAGGATTACAGTTATAGCACAGAATAATAAACAATCAGAAGGGCCACTCTCAGATGCCGCCTTTGAAGTTTTTCAGCACGCGCGCCATGTTTTAGGAGGACACAAACATATGATTTGTGAGGTTATGCAATTGTTTACATTTATGTTTAATTATATTATATTTATGTTATATTTAAAACTGTTAATAATATAATTGTATAGTATGTCTATGATTGCCGAAAGTCAAATAAACCTGGTTTTTTTTCCATGCACACCACATAAACAACACTGGTTCCCTTTAAAATCCTCGTAAAACATGGCGGAACGTCTGCGCGAAGGAGATGTGCGTACTTAATTTTCCGTGGAGAGTGGGCATTCTGTTTGTTTATTATTCTGTGGTTATAGTGTGTTCCGAACAAATGTTCTTCATAAAAACGCTTTATAATGTATTTATACAAATTAAATGAAACATATTATTGTGTATTTCTTTAAGTTAACATTAATAGAAATCTTTAAATATTATTTCTACGCGTATATAATAAAATATTTCTAGTGGCTGTAATGCCAGTGTACTCGGTAAAGTGATTCTAAAAAAGAACACACCTACAACCTAAATATTTTGTGTTGGTATCATGTGACGTCACGGTCTACGACGTGCATCGGTATGTAAATTAGATGAAGTATATGTCTATGGTTTAACCACACCAATTCTCTGACCTCTGTACAAATAAACAGACAGAGGAAAAAAGGTTTAATAAAGATGGTACCTTCACTTTACCTGATAAAGCGCATAGTCTATTGATATATGCCTATGCTCCTAATATACGACCGGTTAAGAAACTCTACCGGAGATTCCCGGGGGCAAAACACATCAGCGAAGGCTTCGTTTTCGCTGAATCAACGGAATCAATCAGAAGATTTGAGGAAACTTAGTCAGTATCATAGACTAGCATCATTACT